TTCGGACATAGCGTTCGGATAGACAATAAGCGAATGAAAGCGAAAATTAAATTCATATTTTTTAATTTGAAAAGTGATTTCTTGAAGAGAACTATCTAGATGAAAATAGAATTTGATAGGTTTCAAAGAATATAGAAACCAATTTTGCTCTTTTTACACCTTTGTGAGTTATCCATAAGGTTCTGATATATTGAGAAAATATAAGCTAAAATAATCCCATGAAGGGGTAGATACATCGGTCACTAGGTCACAACACATGCAAATCTAACATTGTGCATAGTGGACACAACCACATGTTTGGAGATGCGGGACGCATAGAATAATAATAAGCCAATCGATCAGGTCAAAGAAGAAAAAAGTGTGAGGAAGAGGATGAGCGAGGGACACTTCTCATCTTACCCCTCATTTCCTCCTAGCTTTTCTATAATATCCAAGTCTAGGATGAAGAGAGGAGGGGAAAGAGAAATGAATGACCAGTTAAAGACTAGACGTTGTTGTGGTCTGCAGTTAAGATAAAAAGATAATAGAATGAAAAGGACGAGAGAGCCAGCATGTCGAATGTAGAGGGCAAAAACATATCAGGGAAAATGCAAATTACTGTGTGAAAAATCAGCCATGGATTGTTGAAAAAAAGATATTAAAAGTAAAAATGAGGGAGGAATGAAGGCAAAACGAGCAATGCAGTCCACTATCGCTGACCATCTGTTCAATCAAGCGATTTGGAAATTTTTGATAGCCACTATTTAAAACTGCATTAATTTAAACATTTAAAATGGAGGGGACAGCTGCCTTTACGTCGTGAAATAAGGAGCTGAATGAATTGACCAATAAAACGGTACGATTGCAATTTCTATACATTCAGTTTCTACCTCCAAAAAAACTGGCTCGCTTTTTCACTTCTTATTCCATCCTTTAGTGATAGAAAATCCCTTAGTATTAAGTTTTTAAATAATAAAATTCGAAATTATTTCTTCAGCCCTCCCTTCTCATGATTTTTCGCGTGAAAATTTCACTTAAAAGAAACTTGGAAAGAAATATTTTAGATTTTACTAATTTAACAATTTATCATTCAAAGACTTTTCACTAAATATTTCAAAATAAATTCAAAAAAGTTGGATTTTCTATGCCTTCTTTGTAGATCTTCATCAGAACGGCTTGAATTAAGTAAATGAAGTAATGAAAGGAAGTAAAGATGTAAAAGAAGTATGAGTCATTGTTACAAAAGGTCAATAGAAGAACATAAAATATGGAATAATTATTTGTGACATTTATCTAAAATAAACAACTATTCATAATCACATGTGAAAATTTTTCTCTTAACTTATTTCTTCAATTTCGAAACACGAAACAAAATGACCCTTTTTTGATAATCTTTTCCAATTACCAACATTACTTTCTAATTCCAATGTTCTTCGCACTTATTACAATTAGTGAGATTACGAAATTAAGTAAAATATATTTTAAAAAAGAGAATAACATATAAACACGTAATATAGAATGCATAATTCTGTACAGGATGCTTATTTCAAACGATAATCATATACTTTCTAATTATACTGCAACTTCGCACTAAATTTAAATAAGCGGTTTCAGACTACTTTTGTCTTTTTAAATAGAAAACTTTGCGATAGCTATAACTAAGAACCGATAACACTTACATTTCAAATGCTTTGAAATGGAAATAAACCATTCCGAGACCAAAATATGAGGCTGGTACTTTCCAAAATCCATCTTTGTTTAGATTGTAAGCTTTCTGATAAGCTGATAATGCTTTAAAAAAGCATAACAAAAATTACTATAGGTACTCTTTGATTATAGCTTTTATTTCGGATCGAATAATGACTTGTCAAGCTAATTTGGTTCAAGATAAAAAGTCTTATTATTCACAAAAGTCAGCATTTTTGCAGCAGCAATTTCAATGTATTATTAATATCGTATATCAGTGCAGCTATAACATGAATTTATTTGATGAATTATATTGTCACAATTTATATCCCTCATTTCATTATTTCATGATCAAAACAAAATAAACATACTTACCCCTAGGAAAATCTTTTGCTAACAAACTAATATGTCCAATTTTCAAATACACTTTATAAATTTTCATATCATCTTCTTTAGCTTCGACAAGCTTGATCAATTCATTATCTAAATTCCGTATTCCCTGCAATAGGAAACAATTTGATATTCATGAACTAAAATTAACGGATTCTGATGAGAAAGAAGTAAACTTTCCTAATTAAAATTCAGTTTTAATAATTTTAAACAAATTTCTAATCCTTTTTTAAATCTCACATTTCTATACGAAAGAAAAGGAAGAAAGATAAACATCTAATTTTATACTAAAAAAATAAACACATGTAATTTATTAACATCATTTCTGGAACAATTGCTCAAACTGCCATCATTAACAATTCGCATTACTTATCCTAATAAACCATTATAACAGATAACTGTATATATTTTTGTATATGACAGTATAGTTTAATACATTTTCGTTATTATATTTTCATATATTTTAGTATACAACAGATATTACTTTATGTATATTATAGTCATAGAACTTATTTAATAGCAAAAATTGACCACATTGAATATTAACTTAGATCATTCTAATTAGACATAAAAAATTAACTAACCTTATAAAGAAGAGATTTGTCGAGCTCAGATAATTCGCCCTTTTTATTCCAAAAATGGATAAAGTCAAAGCTAAAAATATTCAGTTATACAGTTTTATGAATGAAAGAAATGTATGGAATGCAAAATTATTTGCTTGAAAGCGAATGAGTTGTATTTTTTTAAAAGAAAAGAAAGAAAGAAAAAAGAGCAAAAAATAAACATTGCAGAATTTTGAAAAAAGATAATGTAAAATCTTTGAAACTAAAAGAAATATGAAAATGTTTATAACAAATGAATAAATAAGGAATACATAATTTTATTAGATAAAATTTAATTACCTGTCCAATTTGACAAATCTAATTTCTTCTGCACATGTGAATCCTGGCTCATATGTGATATTCATAGTTCAATAAGTTACACATTCATTACTTTCCTAAACTTGAAGTCCCTCTAATTTAAGCGTAACAAACCCATAATACACGGAACACACGTAACGGAAATGAACTACTTCGTAGCAATTAAAAATGTTGGCCACTATGAAACTTCTGAAACGGTCGCATCTCAGCAACAATACGTGTGTGTGTGTATGTATGTGTGTGTGGTGTGTGTGTGTGTGTGTGTGTGTGTGTGTGTGTGTGTGTGTGTGTGTGTGTGTGTGTGTGTGTGTGTGTGTGTGTGTGTGTGTGTGTGTGTGTGTGTGTGTGTGTGTGTGTGTGTGTGTGTGTGTGTGTGTGTCTGTCTGTCTGTCTGTCTGTCTGTATATATCTGTATACGTCTGTATATTAAGGTGTATGCATATAATACTTTGCTTCTGTATTGTTAAAGATTACGTATTTACAGTACTTACATATGTTTATTACGTTTAGCATTCATGCGTATTGCGCTTGACACGTGTTCTTGTTTTGATACCTGTATTTGTAAAAATTACATCTGCCAATGCTTTCTAATATTCAAATAATGCTTTAAAATAAGAATTTAATCGCACTAAATATGAATCTCAAAATCTATGCTACTTTTCTGGAAAATTTGTGAAAAAATTGCCTCTATCAATCAAAATTTGCATTAAATGGTTATTATATCATGCAAACAATTCAAATGATATAATTTCTAAAATAAATAGAAATTGTACCACTTCCTGAAGATTCGATTGACGTCTTTCTACAGTTATTCACTTTTTTCTTTCTTCGGAAAAAGTACAATAATTCGGTTTGAGATTGAAGTCTTCCTTTAAATTTTAATTTTAATTCATTTGTTTAATAATCAGTTGCGGAGCAGTTTGATAAATCATATATCGTTCACTATAAATTACAAATATTTTTTAGAATTCCTTCTGGAATTTTCAAATTTTATCCACTTGTAAAGATCAAATTAAAATGCTATTCTAATGCAAGCAATCAATTATCATTACTAAACGATTACCAATTGTAATATTAAACTCTTATCGCAAGAGCAAATAATTTTTAATATTAAATTCCCATCCCAAGAGAAAATGTTGAATTAAATAACAAATTACCATATTTTTTTTCCTCATGCATAAAATAGAACTGCTATTGTATGAACAAAAATAGCACATACAAAATGGCTATTACTGTGTTTAAAATAAACGAATAATTGAAGGATGTGATTCTTATTGTCTAAGCAAATGATGCACGAATTGTAAATTTTAACTGTAATGTAAATAATTCATCGATTCATTCATTTCATTTACACTTTATAGCACAACAATAGAGCGGAACATATATATATATATATAATAAAAAAGTGAAATATATAAAAATAAAGAAAAATAAATAAAAAGAATGAAATTACAAGGAATGCGGCAAATATAATGATAACAACAAGAAAAAAAAAGAAAAATCACCAGGGATTGTAACTGTAATTGAATTGAATTGAATTAAATTAAAACAAATAAATAGCAGTAATGTTTAGATATAATACACCTAATAAATGAGCATAACAATAGCTCTATGAATATTATTTGTATGAATAAAATACTTCTACAATAAAATAAATTAAATTTGCAAATAGTTTCCTCCCTTCATTTTTTTTTTTCAGAACTATTATAAATAGAATGAAATAAAATTCATTTTGCTTATTCTTCCAATGTTTGAAAAGTTATTGTTGTATAAATATTAAACCTAACTTTCTAAACAAAACAAAAGAAAAAAAGGAAATTTTGTAATCAAAGAAAAAGAAATTTTATATTATTTATTTTATTAAATAAATTTTCAAACCTTTTTCCTCTTTTCTTTCTTTCTTTCTCATTTTTACCTTTTCATTAATAACCTAAACAAATTGCTATTAATTGATCTAAAGGTGAGAAAAACTTAATTAACAAGAGGTGAAAAGAGAGAAAAATCATAAAATAAGTAAGTAGTATACTAAATTGTTGCAAATAATTCAGTAGATGAAGAGCTTTCAATAATTGTATTTAATGGTGTCGCTGTTGTTGTTGTCAATGATTTTGCTAATATTGTATTTAGTACACCTGCTGATGGTATTGTTGCCGTTGTTGCTGGTTTTGTTGTCGTTGTTGATGATGATAGTGGTGATAAGCTTCCTAGTGAATTCTGAAAAATAAAAAAATTATGTTATGATAATTGGACAAATTGTTTTTTTTTTGACATAACAATAACAATAAGTAATAATAATAGTAATAACAATAATAATAATAATAACTAATAATAATTTAGTAAGAAAAAATATATCATTAATAGTAATAATAGTAGTACATACTTATATTTATATTCAAAAAAAAAGTAATGGTTTAACCTCTGGACAACTGTATGAACGTGTTTGTAGCTGATCATTTGTAGTGATATTATTATCCGGATCTTCATCCGATATAATCGGAACAAATGTTGGTGATCCGGAAGAGGGAGATGAACAATAAATACCATTTGAATTGTTACCATTTCCATCCACAACACTACTGCAATTAGAATTTTAAATATTCGTCATGAACAAATAATTTCAAATTATTATTTCATTTGAAATGATTAACATTATGTAATTTTTTTTAAAAAGTGCGCTAAAATTTTTTTTAAATTTTAATTTCAAGTAAAATAACTCACCTATCTGTGGTTGTGTCGGAAGAACGAATACTATCAGTGGAAATTGTTGAAGCCCAAGATTGTGGGCGCATCGGTCGATGTTGTTGACTTAATCGATCACGATGCGTTACACGTTCACCAACTATCCTAAAATAAAACAGATCTTTTTCCTTTTTTTTTTTTCAGATTTGAAATTCAAAACTCGTTTTATTATCATAACCGAATTTACAAAGATTAAAAGTTCAGGTCAACAATCAATTAATTGTTTAAAACGATTATTTTATTCATGAAAAGTTCAATACAATTAGTTTCATCCACCCATATCAGAGATATTTATAAGCTTAAAATGAAAATAAAAAAACTTAAGTATTACCTATAAAGTCGTTGTATCCATTTTATCCGAGCAGATTCATCAATAGGTTGCACTACATATGCTTCATTTTTCGTCTCATCCCAAACTTCAAAACGTACAGATGATGTCTTTGATGTTTCCGAGAAGCCAAGACTACACGTCTGAAATGATCGACGTTTCTAAACTTTTTTCTTTTAAAAAAAAAAGTGTATGAGAAATAAAAATTATAAAACTTGATTAAATTAACAAGTTTTAATTAAATTAATTTCAACAGCAAAAAAAAAAACAACTAATAATTATTTACTTACTGGTATAGATAACTTATGTTCATAATATTCAGAAGCGTACGGCAAAGATTGTGATCGTTTTTTGCAAAATAATAAACCACCATCAAATAGGAACAAATGTCGACGTTGAGGTTTATTAAGACGACGAGTTCTCTTCTTGAATGGATAAATGTCACATTCATTTTGAAGTCTTAATGGACCCATTTGACATAAATCACCCTAAAATAAATCCAATCATTACTTTTTTAAAATGAATTTGTATATTTTAAAATGAATTATATGATTCACATAAAGAGTTGAATTCATCACGACTTTGGAATTTAAATTAATCATGGTTTTTTTTCTTTGAAAAAAGAAGGCAGATAATAATTACTACAAATCCAGCAATATGTAATTGATGCATTGATGTATTAAGCTGAGCCAAGAGATCTAACATAGAGGTTAAAGCTTCATCAACATGAGGCTTAGCTTGATCTGAACAGTGACGGTGTACTTCCTGCAAAATGACAAAATATGCAAGTTATTGAAATAATGGACAATCAATTGTTTAGTAAAAAAAAAAATAAATAAAAAAAGCAAATGTTTAGCAAATTTAGATGTGAAATGATTGAATAATCTTTGATTATTGCAGAAACTTAACTAACTAGTCATGCTATTCATAAGTTAAATAAATGATATTTCTTTGAATCAAATCAATACATTAAAATTTTTAAAAAAAAATAGCTTATAGATAACTGATAAGGAATAAAAGGAGATGAATGTCCAGTTTTAGGCTTTTGTTAATGATGAGCTTAATTACTTTTAACAAAAGTTGATATTTGGTAATCCTTTGCACCGGTTTCAATAAATAAGCACTTAATGGTAATGGATGTCCAGCTCGTTTTTGACATTCCTAAAATTTTAATTAAATATCTAAATTAAGATAATTATACAATTACTATTTCATATAGCAAGCATTTTCTTATTACATATTCTTTCATATATAACTTTTATGATATGTGCAAAAAAAGGCAAGTAATATCACTTTTTTTTCAATTATTTCTTTTGTTTCTTTTCATCTGTCAAATCTAGGAAAAAAGTATTACATAAAATAAAAATTAAAAAAAGACCATAAAAAATTTAGCAACCGCTCCGTCCGGTTGTTGTTCCCGTCGTAATGCTTCACCTAAGGGTTTATTTTGACAGTAATGATGATAAAGTTGGAGGAATTTATTACGATGATTGAGAAAACATCGGCATATTTCGTTTATTGAATTTCCCGCAGCCAGAAAATCAGCCAAAAGATAGTTACTGTGAAAATTCAACTGCAATATGGAAATTAGATGAAAATGATAAGTAAATAAATAATAAATAAGTGAATAAATAAAACAATGATAAGTAAATGAATATTAAATAGGTAAAAAAATAAGATGATGAAACAAATAAATTATTAAATATATTACTGCAATAAAAAAGATAAATAAGTAAATAAATAATAAGGTAATAAGACTAACCAAGTCAGGAATATTACCAAATAATATATCAGAACGATCCCTTAAATGAGATGTTATTAAATGCTCATTTTCAGGTGCCTCAAATGGTCTAATATAAAAATCAACGATTGATTTTAATTCACGAACATAACTTTGTTCCGTATTTACCTGTAAAATTTAAAAATTATAAATGAATCAATGAAGCAATTAACTACAAGAAAAATTTGAATTCATTGAAAAATAAATTATCGAATAAACCGGAACCGAATTAAATGCTAAAAAAAAGCACTTCTCATGGTGATATAAAATCAAAAAAAAAAAAAAAAAAAAAGGATACGAAAATTAAAAATTATTCTTACTAATTCAGAGATGGCAAAATTTAGGAGTGAAGCAGGTTGATCAAATCCAACTGTCGCACCACTACTACTATTATCACTGCTATTACCAACTGGGCCGCCATATTCAGCATTTTTTCCACATAAGAATGCATTTTGAGGATTGTCATGAAGCACTTCAATTTGACGCTGTAATATGACAAAGAAAAAACTTAACTGATTAATTAATTATATTTCTTCTTATATGACAATTGTCAAATAATTACTTAATAACATTTCAAATAATTTTATATTATGGTAGGAAAAATAATATATTTAAGCCATATATACATATGTACATTTCCATTTTTGACCTTTGTTTGGACTGATAAATTTGAAATGATAAACATCGATAATAAAATTCAGGAACATTCTTTTCATATTTTCTGTTTCTTGTTTTATAAGACGTTTCTTCTAATAAACAAAGTGATCATCCGATTATCTTATAAACAAATCTTTTCTTCCTTACTTACCATCATTAATTTGAAATAAATTAAATTGAAATAAACTGAGGAGAAAGTAAAAAAAAATACAAGGAGAAGAGAGAGAAAGAGAGAGACAAAAGAAAAGAAAATGAAGAACTGACGATAAGAAAATCAAATAAAAACAAAAAAAAATTCACCATCTAATTACCACACATTTTTCCTTTTTTTATACATCATCATGAATTACAACTAAATCGAATTCAATTGAATTAAATTAAAACAAGCATGAGAAATAGGAGAGATGAAAAGAGGTAAAATAAAGAGGAACGGAGATAAAGAGGGAGAGAGAGATAACGAGATAAGAAGAATTAAAGATACGAGGATAAAATAAAAATGAAAATGAAACAAACAAACAGGGAAACAAATATCGTACCGTTTGCCGAATAGGTGCAGACCATGATTTCGATTTGCGTATGCGTGATTTGAAAAACATCACAATATCAGAATTATTAGAATTAATTAGATTGGTATGCTGCTGAAATTAAAGAAAAATAACAATGATACAAATGAATGAATGATGAAAAAGAAGGAAAAAGAAGAAAACTTAGCGATAATAAAGTAAGGATTTTTGAAATAAAAAATAATAAATTTGAAATAAAATGATGAAAGGGAAATGTTTGGCAAATATTTAAAATAAATGAATGATTATTTGTACAAAAATATTTGAATTAATTGATTATAATATGCATTAACAATTAATAAAACATTTCATTTTTTTCCTTTTTTTTAGTCGTTGAAAACAAAATGAGAATGTGTAAATTATGAGTGAAAAATTGGTGGGTTTTTTTTTTTTCAAATTTAGCACTAAAACAATTTTAAAAAAAAAAAAACTGCTGAATTGTTAATGTGCAAAAAATTAAAATTACTTCCAACAATGCGTGAAATAAAAATAAAAGAATAATTGACTTTCGAATTTAGTTATATTTCAAAAAAACACCGGTTGTTTTTTGCATGATAATCGATGATAATTGATTATTAATTATTAAGTGTTAAGCAAATAATAGATAAATAACCAAATGAATGAATGAGTGAGTGATAACAACATATTTCATTATCAATGATAACAAACTGATTTAGGCGGAGAAAGAAGATGAGAAAAGATGATGAAAATTGAAATATAAAAGATTTTGGTGTTGAAGTAAATATGAACCATTTTCATTAATAAGAAAAAGAAGTTGTAGAAATTAAAAAGGAAAGAAATAGTTCAAATAGTACTAGTTTTTATCCGAGGGAAAGGGAAAGAGAGAGAGGGAGTGAGAGTATATTAAGTTAATAATGAGAAAAGCCTGAAAATGAAAGTAGAAAAGGCAAAAAATGAAGAGTTCACTATATTAAAGACCCTAAATATGCACTTCAACCACTTCATTGAAAGCAGAATAGCTCTTTCAATTTATCATTTCTTTCTATCGAATATTTATTCAAAAATTTTTCGATCCATTTTAAAAAAGAATTTAACGAAAACAAAAAAAAAAAGTTTTTATTTTCTTAAATATTGACAAATTTTATTGGAAATTAACATATTAAATCATAAACTTAGAAGAAGACCAGAAAGAAATATTTCATAACCAAAAATCAAACGTTTCAATAAAATAATGCTAAAAACCGGGAAAAATAATTATTAATTCTTATCAAATAATACATACTCAAAAAAAAAAAAAACAAAAAAAAATGAGAAAAGGTAATAATTTCTGTCAAATAAAATTACCAATCAAAAATGTATAAATATCAAAGAATAAAAATAAAAATAGAAATGTTAAATTGATAAAATTATTAGCAATAATATATAATTTTAATAAATGAATAATTCAGTCATAAATAATGATAATATAATAAATGAGTGATAACAAATAATAAGAATATGAAATAAATGAAGAGAATGATAAATAAAGATATCATTTATGTAGAAATGAATGATACAATGATAAGGATATAGGTGACCTCAAAAAATATGATTAAAGGAGGAGAGAGAAAGAGAAAGAAAGAAAGAATGAATGAGTGGTGGAATGTATTCTAATACTACCATACAAGTCCCATCCTTTTGACTATCCGTTTGATCCCGCGAAATTTCAATTACAACCATTCTTCTTCCATATTCTCCTACTTAGCTTCTTCAAAGACAAGGAGAGAAAGAAAGTAATTATTACTTATTAAAAAAAAAAAAAAAAAAAAAAAAAAAAAAAAAACGGAATTAAAAATTGACATGATAAGAAGAATAATGCACAAGTTGAATTAATGGGCTAAATTTAAATTAGACTTGAAATAGATGAGTAAAATAAATTTAATTCATAATTTCAACTAATGTAGGTATGAAATTGAATATAACAGTTTTGTTTTTGCTTCAATAAACAATTCTAACACAATCATAGGATAATGATAACGATAATGGTGATGATAAAGATGATAACGACGATAATGCAAAAGACCAAGAAATAACCCACTTTCGAAATTATTTGTTCCAATTTGGCTATTTATTAATATTTGCGATAATCTGCTATCACATATCACTTCTATTTTATCACATCATAATCATTAAGTCATCAATTTAAATTTAGACTATTTTAAAACAAATATTAACAAAAACTCAAAATTAATTAATTAAACTATTTTTCTTTTTTTTTGCTCATTTCATACTAGATTGGATACATTGTGTAGTTTTCATTAATTTAACGTTAATTTCAAAAATAATAACAATTATCAATAGAAACGATAATGTGAAATAGATTACTGCCAATAAATTTACATAAATCTTTTTTAAAAACATTCGTTTACTTTATGTTGATCATTTCTTATTATTATTTACATTATTGAATATCACAAATAATGGAATGGTTAATTTTCGCTATTATTAAGCCTCTTATTCTATCAATTTTGATCCTTCAATTATCCTTTTAACGGAAAATACACGGAAATTTCTAATGATGAAAAGAAAAATTAGAAGGAAATAAAATGCTGAAAAAGGAAAAAGATGGAAAGAATGAGGGAGGAAGGGATAAAGAGGAAGAGAGAGAGAAAGAGAAGAAGCGAAAAGGGAGAAGGGAAAACGAGGAGATTATTGAAATTCATTAAATGAATAAAATTTTATTGAATATATGTGATGGAAGTTTAGAAATGAAAAAACTTGTACAATTTTGAAAAAAGTCAACTGACTTTGATTTTAATAAACAAATGGCATTTTTATGAAATTTATCGTTTTTATTAAAGAACATAAAATGGCATAACATTATTTTACTGATACTGTTTTCTTCGTTAACATTTATGAATACAACAAATATCAATAAAACAATGATTAAATTTGTTTTCATATCATTAAATAATTGTTTACTGTCTGTTTGTGTTAATCTTTTCATATCTTTTGTTGATTAACTTTTTTTAAATTCGAAAAAAAAAACACTTGATATTTTTAAAGTTAATTAATTAATATTAATCAAAATAATAATTGAACCAATCATATTTAGTTCATAGCACGGTTTTATTCTTTATTAATATTAATATTCTATTGTCAATTCTTTTCTTTTCTAATTTATAAAATCAGGAAAAGGACAAGAAAAGTCTAAATAATCTTGCATAAATTTCTTTTAACAATATTAATTAACAAACTAATTTCGCCTGACTAATTTCTTTGGTTAAAAATTATTGCTTGATAATTTTTCATTCATTCAACATCTTCCTCCTTCCTTCTTCTAGAAAAAAGAAAAGCAACAACGATAAATGTTTGATCTATTGTGGAGGTCATGGTTAGCTCAGCATTTGCAAATGTAATTTTCGCTTGAAAAGACTTCCAAAATAAATTGATTTGAAATTAAATAGAATGTAAATGAGTGCTAAAAAAAGCCATCATATGGCACTTAGCCTTCAATTTCATATAGTAATATCCTTGAAAAAAACAAAAAAATAACGGTTTTTTTCCGCCTTTTTTTCCTTCTTTTGTCCTTGAATATATTCCTTCAATGACATCCTATTATCATATGTCAAATTTTAAAATTTAAATTTCAAACTGAACAAATTTTAAACTCAAAAATTAAAATTATTAGTTTATCTGACCAGAATTTGAAACAATGAGAGAAAATATCTGACCCTTTTGAAATGTTTTCCATTTCTGCTCAATTCATTTTCATCCATGCAACATTCATCAACAAAATGTGACAGTGGTTCATTTGAATCATCACCCGGAAAATCGGTAATAGTATTCCGGCTAGATTTGCATTCTCTATTCGATGTGTAATTTGCTTTTTGCTTTGCACGAAGTGAAAGATGAAATACCTGGCATCTGATCATTCCCAAACGATCATGCCCTAATGTACACTCATACATAGCAAACCTCAAATATCAGACAAAAATGATCAAAAATGAATAATTCAATGCGAGGAACATCAAAGTTAAGGCAGTTATTGCTAGCCTCTAAATAATAATTGGGCTAACAAAGAAAAAATTATGATCATTACTACAGATATTGATTATATATAATATATGCAAAAGAAAAAAAAAAAAAATTGAATCGAATATTTTCCAGAAAAAGGAAAAAAAATTACCGTCCGTCTTTTTTTCAAGAAATATTGATTAAAATTTTCTAAAATTATAAAGTTCTATTCTTAATTTAAAAATCAAAAAAGGAAAAAAGAAAGCACAGTAATTTGGATCATTTCAAATTCGTGTAAACTAAATGCTAACAAACAATCAAAATGAGAAATAAAAAGAAAAAACTTTTTCCTTTTTCAAAAAAAAGGAAAGAAAAAGAGAGGATAGCTTGTAAATCGTTAAATCTCTCTCTCTCTTTCTCTCCTTCTCTCTCTCTATCATTCTATCTTTTTTCGTCTCTCTCTTTTTTTATCACTTCATCAATATCAGTGATGAAAACTGTTTAAAGTGAAGAGAGAATAAAATGAAATTGAACAATGACAGAGTGGTATTTGCAAGCATCATCAATGCTTAAATCGTTTTTTTTTTTTTTTAAGTTAATTTTTTTTTTTTTTTTTTAGCTGGATAAGTGAATTAAAAAAAGATATTTTCAACTAAATTAAGTAAATTGAAACAAATGAAATAAAAATGTACGGAAATATTCGAATGAAAAAACAAGATAAAATAAAATAATTGAATTAGTCTTTGGTAAAATTTATTTTTCTTTTTATTTAAAAACTTCACTCATAATTTTTAATTCTTTATCAAATACCAATTTTTCATTTTCATTTCCAGCACTATTATTTCTCCAACTCTATCCATCATTAGTCTTATTATCTTACATCACTATCTCATGACAAAATAAAAATAGCAACAACAACAACAACAATCTTTCTTATTTACGTGACTTTTCAACTACACTATTTGAATTTCTAAAATTTTGTTAATCAAAAACTAAAAGAAAGAATATGTCCAAAAATTTTAATTTTAATATCAAATAAATATTGAACGATGATATCATTCATAGAGTTGATTTGTATAAAAATTAAATATAATTTAAATGCTAATAATTAATGAAAATTAAATTATCAATTAAAATATCCCACACATATGCAAATATTTACAAATATCACTCTTACCTAATTAATAAGCACTCATTCATTAATAACACGTGTACAAGGATGCCCTTGCACACACACACACACACACACACACACACACACACACACACACACACACACACACACACACACACACACACACACACACACACACACACACACACACACACACACACACACACACACACACACACACACACACACACACACACACACACACACACAGACATTAGACAAACTTAAATATATGAGTATGGATGAAATAGGTAATTGTTAATGAAGAAATCAAAAAGAAAAATAAGCACTTAATTAATTAGGGAGAAGAATAATTATGAAAGCCAGGATGATGTGAAATGAGAAGTTAAGGTTGTTGAGGTGAGGTAGAACTAGAAGTGTTGATCGATATAATTGCGCCGCGCTTTTCTTCCTCTTTCTTATTTCTTCCGCGGGACAAACTTCTCCTTCCTTTTCAAACATTTATCATCCACAATCTATCTCCTCTCTACCTCTCCCTCCTTCCCTCTCTCTCCTTCCCTCTCTCTCTCTCTCTCTCATATCATTACATCACGATACACAACTATATTATCCCTCTTTTAAACTTTATTTCTTTTTAAATGCATTTCCAGTGGATATGTCAATTTACTTGTCATTGGTAGTAAAGTAAAAGTATCTCACATATAAAGTAACTTACTATCATTGAGAGTTAGATTTATGGCAAAAAGTTTTTTCTCTTATTTTTCACTTCTTGAAATTCATTTAAATACATAAAAAGGATGAAAAAAAAAAGGAAAAAGTGGTGAAGAAGTATAATAATGGATTAAATACTAGAATTGAATGAAATTTGAAATATTAAATGAATTTTATATTTATTTATCAAATAGAAGAAATAAAAACTTTAAAGGAAAAACGGAAGTATATGAATAAAATTAAATGCAAAATAGAATAATCAGAGCAATTCAATGAAAGGAATAAAAAGAAATGAATGAAATTAAACTATAATAATTAAAATTTATTGCATAAAATAGTTGTAAAATAGAAGAAATAAAAAATTTTAGGATAGAAATGAATATTATAAAAGTAGCAGTTTCATTTTATACTTACTACAAGTGTTTTATGCTTTATCATATTTTATTGATTGTCAATTGTCGCATCTTTTTTTCTGGGAGAAATGTAAACATTACCAATGACGTCAATAAAGCTAAACCAATTTGCTTCACTAACAAATGAAATGAAATTTCAAAAAGAAAAAGTTCTAAATTTAAATTAATCATTTATGGAATGGGAAAACACTGGATATTTATTGAAATTTGTTGAATTAGATAAGCAAATTGGACTTAAACAAATAATAAATGATTAAAATTATTGACATATTGATCAATGAGCTAAATAATGAATTGAAATAACAAATTAACAGATGATTTGGTAAAAAATATATTTTTATTTGACAAATTAACCAGAAAGTTTAAAGAGTTAGGCGAACTAAAGTTGAAATCAGACATATTACACTTTTCTTTTTTTTTAATAAATTTGTTAAATTTATTTGATATTAATTTTAAATATACAAAATAATGAAATGATAATGAATCAAGCCATGATCATTACTATCGATGCTTATAAAATACTTATTAGAAACAACTTATAAAAAAGAAATTTTCAACATATAAGATAAAAACTTTGCTGAATTGAAATCCAGTTTTTAAACAAATAAAAATATTATTCAAATGATTGCAAATATCGTTGCAGCAATGATAGAAAAACGAAAGAGGCGGAAATCTTCAAAAGATTTACTGATATGTGCCTTACTTCAGAGGATAAATTTACTAAATTCTATCAAATAAGTTAAATGATCGAACATATGGAATAAATTGCAGGCGCCAAAAATTGTAAATAATTGGTTAGGAAGAAAAAAGAGTGGATGGGAAAGAAAGAGTAAAGTTATATAAAGGGTAAAGGTAAAAGTAAGAATGGATAAGGATAAGGGTGAATAATAAAGAGGTAAATGTTTTTATGATTAGGGTGAAATCTATTCCTATTAGATTGATCGATGGATGAATTTGGGTTTTTTTAAAAAAAAAGAAAATTAAATCAAAAATCTTCTCCGTCAGATTTTTTTTTTTAACATTGAAGAATAAGAAGTAAGAGAGAAAGGGAGGAAAGATAAGAGAGAAAGGGGGTAAAGAAAAAGAGAAGGAGAGAGAGGGAAAATAGATAAAATGTTAGATATGAGAGAGTGATTAGATAAGGTAAAGAGAATGGATATTTAAAGAAATATTATGATCGAAATATAACAATTATTGATAGAATGTGCACTTTTTTTTTGGTGTTCTGAAAGGTAAGCAAAAGGAATGCGTAGAATGAATTCAAATGTCGACGTACGTATCACATATACATAACATAAAGTTAAATATACGTGTAATACGTGTTGCAAATGTCTATAAAATACAATATTGTCATCCTAGAGTTTATCAAAAGATTAAAATAAAAAATCTAAAAAAAAAGAAGAGATCAAAATGATACTTTATTCGGTGATGTTGGAGATGAATTCCTATTAATGGTAGTTGTGCTAATAGTTGTGCAACATTGGTCACCGTTAGAGCATTGTAATTTTTCGGGACTAACAACCTGAACAGGTGGTTTTCGAATTTCTCGCAGTGCCATCTTTTGTAATGCATCACGTCGAGAAATGCTTAAATGTCGCATATCATCGATACGTTCAGCAACCTACAAAATTTAAATCACGTCATGCGAGAAAAAAAGATCGTCATTTCTTTTTGAACTAATTTTCACAAAATTATTAACATTTTCTTTTTAATAAAAAAAAAATATTTCTTTGCACGTATTATTTTTTTAGATAATTTCAATAAACACCGATTAATTTCGATAAATTTTAACTAGTCACACTTGATAATTTCACAAGTTTTAATTGATTTGCTAAATAAAGTTTTTTATACAGCCTGAAAAAAAAAATTTAGTTGTAAATTTTTTGGAAATCAATAAAAGGAAGCAAATTTCCAAAAAAAAAGCAAACTCAGTCCTTTCCTTCCCTCTGGAATCATTTGATTTAAAATGAAAAAGCTTTTTTTTTCCTCTTGTTTTTCTGTTTTCGACATAAAATCTTTGGGAAATTGTTTCATTCTCTCATTCCTTTTTTCAAACATTTTTCTGTTATTTCTTTTTCTTTTTTTGAAGAAGAAAAATGTATTTTTTTTTATTCCGTTAACTTAATACTTTTTTTTGACATTAGAACTACTTTAATTGCTTTTCATTGTTATTAGTTATTTTATTAATTGCGTAATTTTTATAAAGTTAAAAATTTGTTAATCTAAAATTTATTTAATGAATAGAACTACACAAAAAAATATGCACCATATAATAACAGAAATTTCACCCAGTTTAATTTGTTTTTGGTTTTCACTCATTCTAGAACTGATAATATAGGACAACAAATTAATGTTAAATTAATTTAATTTATTAGCAAACATTTCCCTTTACTTTTCATCGTTTTTCCGATAGTTTATAGTTAGCACACAATTAAAATATACCAAAAATAATTTTATATGTCGCAACAAATTAATAATTGTATTATAAAAAATGGAAAAAAAGTAAAGTAATCAAAAATTTTCAAATAAAGTCATCAAGAAAATTCATTTTCTAATTTTCGTCAAATTTATTCAAATAATAACAAAAATTGTTTTAGGCAATGTAAAAAGTATATATTTTAATTGATCCTTTATTTGTAAATTCTAAATTCATTTGCCAATTTTTTTCTCCTAATTTTCTAAAATTAAACTTAAAGTAAAAATACCTGTGCAAGTAATGTAGATGTTTCAGTTGTTGTGAGCATTATCAATTTGTTTAAATTTGGCTCATTATTAAAAATATCCAACTGAAAATATATTTAATTGTAAGTTTTATTTATGTTACTTTTTAATAAATTGATACTATAATGCTCTAATAATTTACCATAAAATACTTTAACATAACTAAATGAATGGAATGCTAGAAAAGGTAAAGTGAAACTAATTACTCCACTTAACTTATTAATTAGTGATATCATGTCATATCATATCATATCATCCCTTTATTATTATTCTATTATAAACCATCTCAACCTTCAATGATTCGCCTTCTTCGATATATTTGTCAACGGTTGTTAATGCACTGGCAGCATTACCCGCTGTACAGTCATATGGTATTGTCGTCAACAGTTCAACACCACGATGACACCAATTATTCGCCTAAAACTCTTGAAAATAATATATATTTGATACTGAAATTATCCGTTATTAGAATAAAGTAATTCAATAAAGTATAATCGGTAATGATAATCAATAAACACTTGATTTGAATATAAAACTTTAACATAAAATATAAACAAAAAATAAAAATTGAAATTCTTTCTTTTATGCTTCCAAAAATTTTGGAAAAAATTTTTTTAAATTTCGAAATTTTTGGAGATATTAATTTATAAATTCAAGTGCAAAAATTGAGAAAAAATTTGAAACTTTATGAAAGAAGTGGAAATATGGGAATAAAAATTGAACTTCCCTGATAAAATTTCAAAAAGAAATGCAATAGAAAATTAAACAAAATAAGCTATTCAAGATTTTTACTATACCACTTATTGTGCTTCCATAATTCATAAATCAAAATAATTCAGTAATTTTTCATATGCAAAAAACTTTGGTCTCCAAAATTTCCTATATTAAAATCTATTAAAAGTAAATTGAAACTGGACGATGCAAAAGACTCCTTGAAAAGAGTTATTGGTTGAAACTTAGGATGATTCAGTTAAAAGGATTTAAAGTTTGTTGAAGAGAGTATATACTTAGAACAAATGGCTTCTTCACATCTTTTAGATAAATTTGGAAGTATTTTAAAAATTTTGTACCAAGAAGCATGATTAATAACTTATTGCTTCTTAACATGTCTGATATACAAATGATTGATGTTTACACGTTTGTACGTATATCTATGGATAATTACTTTATCTTAATATAGTTAAAAGACTGATGTGTATACGTGTTTAGATGTCTATCTATGTACTTCATACTTCATTTTAAAATGTATGAAACTGTAAAGTTTATACGTCTATTTACGAATTACGTATTTGTATTAATGTACGACAAATAATTTATTATATATCTCAGGCAAAGCGCATCCTCAAAGTCGTAGAAATATCAATCGTTGCTTCATTTTGTAATAATCATTAATGAATTTTATAAAATTACCGAATTCTGTCATGTCCTTACTTCTTTGATTTTTAATTTAAGTAAATAAAAATAGTTTTATCTTGCATCAAAGAAACTTCTCTCTATTTTCGTTTTTTTTTTTCCATTTTCTTGTTAATCATTTTAAGATAGAACTTGAAGAACCATTAAAAAGGACATTCTCTTAAGAATTATTCTTGTCAGTAAATACTTCTTCATTAATCATGAAAGATAAATACGAGTATTATGCACTTAAAGATGTTGATTTAAAAGAAAATTTGCATATTGAATAATGAAATAATTTAAAGTGTTGAATAATTTGAATAGAATAATTAATAATTTACTGCATGTATTTGTTGATGCATGTCCTTGCTTAGTCGTAGCACTTGGCTACGTCGTTCAAGTGCGCCGCTTAATGCATCGGCCATACGATCCAGTTCATCACATTTTGGTAACAAACTTGCTGTTAATTCAACATCCTGTGATGAGATTAGCTCTTGTCCTGCATCTCGTAATAAACGTGCTCCATCCACGTCTTCCTGAAATTGAGAATAATGGTAGTAATAATAATGATAATCAGAACAGTAATAATAATGATAATATCAAATATAATAGTTATAATAATAGCGATAATAATAACGACAGTGGCAGTGCTAGTAGCGATGACAGTAATGATAATGATAATAACAATAATAACAGTAACAATGATAGTAATAATAATAAATTACTGTACAAACCATAGCTTGTTGACAATATTCAGCATGCGCTTGCGCTAATTGTTCAGCTTTTCTCACTCCATCACCAACTTCTCGATGCTCTTCCAGATGGATCATATGCTTTGCAAATGCTGATTGTAGCTGCAATAATAGTAATAATAATAATGACGATAATAATAATAATAATGATAATAATAATATTAACAATAATTAATGCTATATATTTCTACTAGGTTTTACTGTAAACATCATTACTCGTTTTTTTTTTTTTTTTTTAACTACTAATTTTTTAGTAATATTTAAAACTATGAAAAAATGTGTGTTTTTACTTCTCATCTTCTTCTAGTTTATAATAACCTTCAACAATTGTCAATAGATACAAAATTTAAACAGCATGCTTTTTCATAGTTACTAGAAAGAAAAGAGAAATTAATATTTTATTATTATTATTGCTAAATTTGGTAGTATTTTATTAAAAGATCTATTTATATAAAATATTTAAAAAAAAATAGTTCATTTATAAAGTATTTATATAAGTTTATATAAATAAAATGATTCACAGTAAGAAATTGTTCCGAGAATTCTCGAATAGTTTTGCGAATTAAATTTGAGAAAATATCATAAAATTGTGAAAATATTGTTAGCTATTTTTTACTTATCGATTTTGTCAATAAAATTTAATATTATTAGCAATGAAATTTCAGAGAAGGATAATTTGGATATCTATCGATTAGATATAACTTTTCAAATAAATCTTCCTCCTAGACTGAAGAAAAAAAGAAAAAATTTCCATGAAGCTTGAAGGAGAAATATCCAACCTATCATTTTCTTAGATATGAATAAGAGAAATACAAATATATTATGTGAATCCTTCTCGAAAATATCTCAGATGTTTCTTATTTCTTTTAAAAAAGAAGCCTATGAAAGTTGTCAAAAGACATATGAATAAAAATGCTACTAATCATAAATGATAGATAATGACCATAAAAATGATATCATACAAACTAAAAGTTGGATAATTGGTGATTAGTACTGACAGTAAAAACAATACATAATTAGTTTGATAAGTGATGAAAATTTTAACAGTAAAATGGTTATGCTAAGAATATGAATAGGTGAAGTGGAAATGAAATGAAAGGATAATAAGGACGACAAAGTGGACAGAAGAAGTGTCACATTCTCTTTCATATTTATTTATATTGATAGTCATCAGACTAATAGAAGCAATTTGCGCTATTAGAAATGGGTTGTCCAGAAACTTCGTTCCATTCCCTATTAGCCATAACATCATTTTCAATTTCAATCGGCTATTAGGATTTCATTTAGCTACTTCAATCAGATACAAGAATTCAGTAATTCCTTTGACATATCAAGAAAACGATATTACTCTTGCTTTTTTTTTTTAAATTGCTCTTTCTTCCTCTTTAAAAAAAACAAAAATTTAAAACGAATCAGTGTGCATTATAAAATTATACTTCTTATATTAAAAAGAAAAAAAGGACTTCAAAAAATCCGTGCACATTTATTTACTTGGCTCAATTAAAAGATATGCATTTCAGTTTTCTTATATGAGCTTGAAATCTAATTATTCACCATTAAAAATAAACTGAGTATTCTAATAACACTAAAATAATTAATAGGAAAATCACTTAGAGACAATTAAATGTCCAACTAAGTTAAGATACACAAAGATAATACAAAAAAATTAACTCATTAACAAAAATAAACAAGAGCTGAATATACGATAATCACAGTAAGTATATAATAATCATGGTAAAGCATGCTACAGTCATAATAACACGATAATCATGACTAAACATATGATAATCATAACTAGGCGTACGATAATCATGATCTCCAATATTTTCTAAATTACATCCTTTTGAAGCTTTTCTACAAACCAGTAATTGTGGTAAATTTTCATGAAAGCACAACTGCTGCAATTATTCAAATATTCAAAAAAAAAAAAAAAAAAACCACTGGAGTGTGATTTAATCTTTAGAATTAATGATTCAACGACCATTAAACAAATTGTAGATAATAGGAAATGAAATTTTGCATGATTTTTCCCTTTGCTAGAAATAATGTACACTTAATTATCAATCAACTTTTTGTGAATAGCAATAATATATTTTAAAAGTTGTAAAGTGACGAATATCCTTTTAATTTCGACATTTAGCATACCGATGATATCATTTTGAACTATTCATAGAATTTCAGCATTTCAAGGAGAAATTGATGAAGATGATCAAGGCAAGGTCGACAACAATGAATAGGATAGAAGAAAATGAAATGGGAGAAGTACCAATGAGAAAAGAAGAATGAATCTTCCTATTAGAGATAGACCAGTTTAAAAGATGGAAGTGGTATTCTCAGCTGATTAGTAAATGATAAAACAAGATTATCCCAATAAGTGATAAAATAGATTGCTAGTAAAGATATAAGAAAGAGATTTTGTAGACATAGCAAAAAAGTTAAAGTTACTTATAAGTAGCAATGTCAACAAGAGTGAAAAATGATCAACAGAGTTAAATCATTATCAACAAAGGCAAAAAAAAAATATTTGACTTTATTTTTTGTTAATTTATAATAACAATTTGCGATAATTCTTTCTTTTATTAATCATGTAAATAGATATCTTTGTTAGTAACTTTGGAGTATGCGAATTTGCTGCATAACAGTGTATGTGTGATATGTGAATTAAAATCATTTTCTCATTCTGAATAGCATTTTAAATTCAGCAATACTAAGCACTTCATTCTCGATCACAATTTTAAATTCGTTTTTTTTTTTCTTTTTAAATTGCAGCTTTGAGTTTAACAATACTGAGAATCCATTTGTTCTTAACCATAACTTTAGAAGAATCGACCACAGGAAAGGAAGAATAGGATGAGTGATTTCAATGATTAAATTAACAAAAGTAGCTTACTTTCCTAAATGAATCTTCAAACCGTCGAAGTTTTAAACATTGCGTAAGACGTTTTTCGTGTTTCATCCAGAATGTATCGAAACTTCGTTCTGTTTCTTCCAATTGTATAAGCATTCTTTCAATTGCTGTTACATTATGAAGCCTATAAAAAAAAGGACAATAAGCAAAAGAATAAAATTCATGTAAATAAATTTAAACAATTACAAGTGAAGCAAAATTACCAGAAGTATCAATTATGTTATTATCAATACTATCAATTATCAAATTATCAGTTATACTAAAAGATAAATCAAAATGTAAATTGTTGAAATGACATATCAAAACAGACGTCTCATTAAAACATTTCCTAACAAATGTTAAGCAAAACGCTTGAAATCATTTATATATATATATATATATTTGTATACATATGTTTGTCTATATGTATATGTATGTGTGTGTATATTCATTATTTTATTAATTTGAATACAAATGAATTAATTTCCTTTTACGTTACGGACTCAACAATAGCAACAAATTTTTTTCTCGAGAACGAATTTTCTGTATGTAGCTGTGTCTGTGCATGTGTGTGCACATATATGTATGTATGTATGCATGTGTCCATGTGTATTGTGTGTATTCACTATTTTATTAACTTGAATATAAATGAACTAAATCGTTTCAGTGTTACGGCTGAGAGCAAATTTTATGTCTCTTTGTGTGCGTGTGTGTATGTGTGTGTCCGTATATATGCGTATGTATGTATGTATGTTTATTTATTATTTTATTAATTTGAATATAAGTGAATTAATTTACTTTAATTAATTCATTTCAAAATAGTGCGCCATATTTTAGCAATCCAATAGAAAAAAAATCAGACATTTCATGCCCAACATTTTAATTAATTCATAAAAAAAAGAAAGAAATGAATTTCGGATATTAAAATTTATCAGTTTTTAGCTAAATCAAAAACTTAATGTAATATTTTCTTATAATAACTTCTTTTAAAAAAATTGAAATAATAAAAGTAAAACTATTAGTAAAAATTTGAATAAGTTAAAAATTCAGAAAAAAGGAAATGTTCAAACGTTAAACTTGGTATTACTATTGTTCAGAATTACTTTAAAAGAAAGCACTAGCTAACATAACGGTATTCAGGAAATAAACCTGGTTGGACTAAGTTGCTCATGTTCCGGCTTAACATCCATTTGTCTGACATGTCGTAATAATGATAATCCTTTTCGTATAGATATTCGAAAGTCTTCCTATTAAAAAAATGAGCATTAAAATTAAATATACAGAATGGAGTTGTATTTTTATCCATGTTTTTCCCATATGGGTAACAGAAAATTTTCCTGAAAACTGTAAACACGAACAGGAAATAACCTTTATAGCATCACGTTCTGCAGTTTGTATCTCAAGAATACGTGCTGTTGTCTCGACATCATTGGGAAGTTCTGTTTCTTTTAGGCAACGACCAAATTCGCTTAATGATTGAGCAATTACTGTTGCAGATGATTTCATCCGTTCGATATCCTGAAAAAGGAGGAAAAACTCGTATTAATTAGGTGAATTGGTGAAGAATGAATGAGATTATCTAGTCTTTATGATTTATTTTTGAAATTTATTAAATTTCTGATTATTTATTAAAATAATGTTAATTCGAGCCTTTTTCATTTTTACTTGAAAAAAAAATGGTACCTTATTTGAATTACCTATTTGAAAAAGAATCTTATTTGAGAAAAGAAGTGGAATTACGAAAAGAAGGAATCTTACAGAACCCTAGTTGAGAAGAAAGGTGGAAAAGAACAGTTAAATACAGAAGGGAAGATTTCTTTCCGAAATTTAAAATTTATAGAAGAAAATGTGAAACTGTTTTCAATAAAATTAATTACAAAATTTTAAAAATTAGTCGCTTTATTGAATGTATGAGTAAAAATTATATAAGTTACACAAATACTGTGTAAAATTAGTTCCGAAATTAGTTAATTAATTAATTACTGATATTTGACAAAACTAGATCGCATCATTATGCTGAGTAGATTTAAATTGTAAAAGGAGAAAAACTGCATCACTAAACCTTACCAATTGATAAACTAATTTGGAAGAATTAATAGTTTGCATTGATGAAAATTATTTGCTCAGTAATAATTTCCCGCCCCGCATTCAATGTACAACATTAAATGACCGGCAAATCTTGATGGCGCTTTGAAGTAATAAAATTTGGCAAAAGGAAAAGAAAGGAGGAGAATAATTATATGCATATATGTATATATGGTGTAAAAAATTAGTCTTTAAAAAAAAAAGTGAACGAAATGTGGATGTCTTGAAAATTAATAGGACCCATTTTTATTATTACTATTACTATTGGCAATAAATAATAATATTAATAATAACAATGATAATAATAATAGTGGCAATAAAAAAAAGAAAATAACAGGTTACCATACGATGTTGGACCCATTCTAAATGATTATATTTTAGTACGCCACCGACATCCATTGTCAAACAATCTGGCCCAATATAGCGGCGGAGTTCAAGTGAACTCTGACAAATCACCACCTAAAATAATTTGAGAAATATGCGCACAATAACATTTAAGATGAATTATGATAAATGAATAAGAATTATAGCAGTTACTCAATGTAGTATTTGATAACTTAGGGAAAGGAGAAAAAAAAGAGACGATTAATTAGTAGATTAATTAAATTTTTTCTTTGAATAACTTACATTATTTCATTCTATAATAAAATCAGCAAATATCTTTGGATCTAATTCATTTATTAATACTTCATCACCAAACACTTATTATCAAATTAAAATAGCAGAAATGAGAAGTGAAAACTTCATGTTATAAATAATAGATCTGAAGAGAAAAAAAAAATCTGACGATATCTAAATATCGAATTCAGAAACTTAATGAACAGGTTGAATGACAGCAACAATATTAATAATATATTCAAATATGTGTAAGTCAGTTTTTTAAAACAACAAGGAAGCTAAGAAAATTACATTTATTACATTCACAAATAACTCAGATGTGATAAATTTTTTACCGAAGGAATTACTTCCGGTATTTCTGGTGTTTTGTTGAATTGGATAGGTTTTTTTCAGAATAATAACGGATAAGATTTCCATTTTTTGTACTTCTCTAAAATTTCATTTAAAGCAATTACATGATGTCGATACAGTAGATTTCTTATCGTTTTACCGTATAACAGTCTCTTCTTCTGCACTGTATAGCTTACAGTATCACTACGTATTCATACGGTATATTTTTATACATTCTCACATCACTGTTATAAATGCTTTGATGAAAATACACAACGATTTCTTGATTTTAAAATAAAATTATAACAAATGTTAATTTGTGAACAAAAAGTTGGAAAAAAAAAAACAAAAAGACATTTGTTCATTTTACTCTTTTTTTCTTGCAACAATTCAATGCTCTAAAAATTATGACTAAAAGCGAATATATTAAAAGATATTAGAATCGTTTCTGATTTCCGATTCACTCATCATTTCCGGTTTCGATTTAATCAAAAAAGAAATTTTTTTTTCCTCACTAAAATTGGATTCATTTCATCTTCTTAACACCTCTTATACGTTTCATCATTTCTTAGTTTTTTATTTTTGCAAACGGAAAAGAAAAAATAAATAAATAAAAAATCAAAGAAATGAAACGGAGAAAAAGAACTAAAAATACCTTCCACTTTTCTGTTTCCACTCTCTTTTACTCCTTTTTATTTCTTCCTCTGTTTTTCAATTATTCGGCAATTTGTAGTTATTGAGAGGTTAAAGAGAGGGGAAATGTTGATAAACAGCGGATGAATGAGCGGGTAGGCGAGAAAGGGCAAGAAATGGCAAAAAAAAGACACGACAAAACAAAAGCAGGTTTGAAAAGAATGAAAAAAAGCTTTCGAGCAAATGCAAATTGCTATGAGTTGAAATGAAATGCAAAAGACGTTGGAAGAATGGAAGTGAATTGTTGTTAAATATCAGAAAATTTTCAATTCTTAACATTTTTTAAATGTTTAATGAATAAATAGAAAAATTTATAATGAAAATGAAAAAATTTAGGAATGATTTTTTAAATATTTGAAAACTGAAACATTTCGCTGAAAAAAAATTCTAATAGATACTGAAATTATCTTCCAACAATTTATTCATTTATAATTGCAAATTTAATATAATCTCTTAAAAGTGAGAGTAAATCGAAAATTTCTAATTTCACAGCAATTTAGAAATTCTTCGATAACGATAATAAATTATTTATAGCATAATTATTTTCAATTTATCAGCACTGAATAATGTTTAAATATTAAATTGAATTGTCGATAACTTTTAAATTTTATTTATTAATTACTAGCAATGATAAAATGATTGAATTAAGAGTTAGTCATTTCAACTTTTTTTTTTTTTTTTTTTTCGGAAGAAATTGTCCAATGACAAAAAAAAAAGGAAAGGGAAGGAAAAAAAGGTTTAACTTAACTGTTAATTGATATAAAAAAGTTAAAAAATTATTATATTTTAAAAACAAATATTGAGAAATTCTTTTTTTTTATTTTCCTTTTTTTTTTTAATTGAAAACTGACAATATATTGAGCACAAAAAATGAAATAATGTTAGAAAACAAAATGTGTCAAACTATCATTAAAATCTTATGTAAATCTTCACCTTTTCCCTAATTGATATTATAGTAACATGTTTGTTTAAATTTTTCACTCTATATTATGCAGTATGATAGTAATACCATAGCCTAAGTTTTGCAGTATTATTTAATTCAACAGTTATTTACCTAAGTGCGTTACTAGATTGCTTGAATGTCTAGATAATCAATATTTGCACACCTGTAAATGCATGTAATTTTAAATTCATGTAATAAATTTATATAAAACAATGACTGAGGACGAATAAAAATCATTAAATATTATATATTATTTAGAAAAGCTGTATGCCATGGTGAATCCATGTTACATTATATAAAATGAATCGAAGAAAGCCTGTTTCAAATAAATTTAAAGACAAATAATTACATCAACGATAATAATAATTATAATTGACAGTAAAGATAATAATCAGAAGAAAATATTGATGAAATGATTAAAAATACTGCTGAAATATTTTTCTAATATAATATTACTCCAATAAAACTTTAAATTTTGTTTACTTACTTCATTTCTTGAGATTCTCATTAATATTTTTAGGCATATTTATTAATCTATTCGCACATTGCAGAACTAAAATCAAATATTCATAATTAAAAATTTTAAAAATTTTGCTTAATTATGTTAATTATTATTTAATAATTGTTATTGACTGGACTAAATGGTAAGACATTGATCGTATAATTACTATTTCTAGCATATTTCATTGCAAAAACTGATTTGAAAATATATTAGTATACAATGGAATGGTGATTTGTGAGAAGAAATGATAACAAGCTAATATCAAATATAATAGTCAGAGAAAGATTAAATAGAGTTCTACAGAAAAAATGAAAAAAAAAAAAAATCCAAATAACTTCACTGAATTAACAATAAAGAAGTTAAATGGTATAATTTGATAACTAGTACTACATTTTTTTTTCATCTTCTTTTCATTAACAGTTATTTTAATTGTACAGTAAGAAGTAGAGCATACTTTTTAATTTTAACATAGAAATGTAACTGTATTAGGTAGTCTGAAAAAGTAAAATAATTCTATTATTTGGTATTAAAGAAGAAATAAAATTTGCATACCTTAAATTTATAATTTTCAGTGATTCCACGGTATCCCACTTCGAGTGCACGCTGCAATACACTTTCCGGTTTTAATATAAGTACAATCCGAACCGGTCTTGGAAATGAATTCTGTAATACAAGCAATGCATGAGAAAAATTGCTACATACATCACTATTTAACTTTACTTCTTTTTTTTTCTTTCTATATAATTTGTCATTTCAAATATTTTCAAAGAAAATATTCAGTCTTTATTTTTTTTTTCTTCAATTAATCATTTGAAAATAAGTATAGAGAAGAAGGGAAACTAATAAAATTTAAGTTTTTGGAAATGTTTAGTGGAAAAAACAAACAAACGAAAGTATTTATTTGTATTAATTTTAAAAGCAAAATGATACTGTGTTGTTTAACAATGAATTAAATTTAATGAATAAATTATTCGTTTAATTAAATTTCGCGTTGAAATTTCCAAAAAAGGAAATTTTAATACTATTATGTATATATAAAATAAATCTTTTCCTTACATAAAAAATAATTATTTATATTAATAGAAAATTGTTATGTTGTCATAAAAGTGACATTGAAATTTTACTAAATTCAGAAAGAAATTAAGGACAACAAAAAGAAACTCTTATCACTCAATGACGCAACTCCATTGTAAATACTTCAGTTATTATCACATTATTTTCTTCAAAAAGAAAAAAAAAACAAATAAATAAACAAAGAATTCTTTAAAATGAAGGGAATAAGATATCATTTTCATTTTAACTAAAAAAAAGCGAAACAAAGCAGAATATCTAAATTCTTTCTAAATCATAAATTTTTGTTAGTATTATGTGAAATCACAAAAAAAATCAATTTCGAAATGAAAAAAAAATAAAAAGAAATGAACGTACAATTGTTAAAAGCTTTTTTAATTTTTTTTTTTGTTAATTAATACATTAATTATTTTGGTTTTAAAATTATTCGTATTAATTTTAAAAGTAAGATTGCAGATTTTTCTTTTTCGAGTTTGTTTAAGATTACTTCAAAAAATTATTATTATTATTATTATTCATAAACTTTCTTCAAAATAGTTTTCTGTGTTATTATTATTATTAAAAACCTTCTTTTTTTGCATTATTATTAAAAATCCTTGAATGCAAAATTAAAATCTAAGTATAAGAAAGAAAGAAAAAACGAGAGGACTGTTCGATTTCCAGAATATAATTTTAAAAATTGTCAACAATAATCAACATCCGACTTTTTTCCTCTTTTTTTCCGTTTTTGCAGTTTTTTTTCCGCCTTTTTTATAAATGACAACAATGATAGGATGAAAATATTAAGAATGATGCAAAGCAATAAGATGGATGGCAATTTGATTTGTTGAAAATGACAAAAGATTTATGATTGCATGAAAATGAAATGAAGTAAATAGGTAAGAGATAAGGTAGGACAAAAGCATATAGAATGCATTATGTTATGGCAAAAATGTTTTTAATGCAATCATTTTTTTAAATTACATTTTCAACTTTAATATTAATAATTTCAATTGTGCATTTTTTTTTTTAAATTTTATTTTTGGTTGAATATGTTATTTCGTCCAATAATAATTATATTAGTAAAAGCTTTAATTTTCAGTGAAGGTATTTTTCATTGTTTTAGTGGAAGAAATTTTTGCTATTTGGTCCAATGGAAATAAAATAGATTTTTGAAAAATAAATTTAAAATTATAATTGCTGTGGATTTATTTTTTATTTCACTTCGAGAGAAAAAAGATGAGCCAAATATTGATAAAATCTGAATTAAAATTGAAATGAAGCGAAATTAAAAGTAGTTAAACCACCAACCGCTATGTATTTCAAATTAAAAGTCAAACAACAAAAAAAAAAAAACGAAAAATATTTGATTAATAACAAATAAGAAATTTTGCAGGATTTAATCAAAATTATTGATTGCTATATAATAGTGAAGCAAAATAAAAAAAAAAAAACTGAGAATAGAAAAGGCAAGGGCAAAGTTGTCCGGTATGTAAAATAATTATAAAAAAAAAAAAGATAACGATATTTTAAGAAGTTCTTAAAATAATGTTTTCTAATAATAGCAATAATTATGGTGATAATAATGGTGACAATAAAAATAATAATGATACTAATAATAATGATACTAAACAATCCATCAAAAAATATGAATCCATCGAAAAAAAATATAAATTACGGTGAATTTAAAATCGCCATTTCTCTTCTTTTATTTTTTCTTCCTAAACTGGAATAATTTTGAACTATCAGCAATTGCTGCATCAAAATATTTTCTTCTTTTCAACTAATCATTCTTTTAAATTAATTTTTTTTACTCCTTTCTTTGTTAAAATATCAAATCTTTCGTGTTTTTAAACCAGAAAAAAGAAAAGTCGGTTATATTAATGATAAATGACATGCCTGACGGCTTATTTGTGCTAATTTTATGCTTGAAATAAATTTTTAATTTCAATAATTCGAAAAAAAAGTGTTCGTCAAACAGTTTAAGTTTAAATTATCCTTTTTTTTATTTCCTAGGAAAACTAATAGAAAAGATGATTTTTTGAGCAAAATTTCTTAAAATTTCCAAAAATAATTTGAAAAATATTTTACTAATTGACTTCTCTTCCTTTTTGCTCATTTTTAGTAATGTTTTTTTGGTTATTTTAGTTCTTTTTCTTTGTTCACATTTATTTGCATTAATTTAACACTTAAATTTTGGTTATTTAAACTGAATTGAAAATTCGGATTATTAGAATTTAAATGATATTAAAAATTTTCTAATAATAATTTGAAAATTTTGCTCGAAATTCTTATTGTTTCGATTAGCGAGCATTAACTGTATTGGACAATTGATTGGTCATTTATTTGATTGTTCGATTTTTCACCAATCATTCATTTCTGTTTTTTTTTTTTTTTCATAATAGATTGTTGTTTAAAAGTTTACTTAAAATTGACAACAAACTAATTAAATAATAAGTTTTACTACACAAAGATTTAAAATCACGAAAAATACAAATAGATGAGGCAAACAAGAAGTATGTGAAAATCAAATCAAAAAAAGAGAAAGGAAATTTAAAAAGAAAAAGAGAAATTTAAACAAATGTGAAAATTTTAATTGATATGCTTTATTAGAGGAAAAATTTATTAGAGGAAGAAGCTGATTAAATAATCTAACTGTCTCTTTCTTACTTCAAAAAATTAAAATTAGAACTAAATTTAAAAAAAGGAAAAAGAAAAGGACGAAAGGAAGAGAGGAAGGAAAGAAGTAAAAATGATTCTATTAGAATTTGTTTTCTTCCCTATATAATTATCGATAAGTAAAGCTTTTTAATTGCTTAAATAGTATTTAAGCTGATTAATAAAACAAAAGGATAAGGTCAATTTGAGATTTTTTATTGTGCTACAAATTTTTTGATCATTATTTCTCATTTCACTTTTGGTATTAGATTTCCATTGATTGATGAAAAAAATTTACAATTTTTATTTCTTAGAAAATGCAAAAAATTTTGTTAGTTTGATTTTCATTTTTGATTTAATTATTTCTGCATAAAATTAAGATTTAATTCATTTCTGCATTAATTCATTTTGAATAACTTCCGAAGTTGAAATAAAAAAATTGATCAAATAAACTTTTCATTTTATATCAATGTGAGATAAAAATCTTTCCTTTTTTTTCCATTTTTCGCATACCAATAAAATGATTATCTTTCCGTCTTAATTTCGACTAATTGAACTTTTTTTCAAATAATTATCGCATGTCACTATCCATTCTTACGTCTTTGTGTAAATTTACGTGATGGTATGTAAGAACAATTGTACAAAGAAGTGATATTAAAATTTCGAACATTATTATATAAGCGTATGAATGAATATAATGCAGAAATAATTATGCAAACAAATGGGATTTAAATTTTCTGAATTAACTAAGCGTAAAAATAACATATAAATAAGTGAAATTTAAATTTACTTACCGTTAGATAAGAAAGTAATAGACGTACGGATGACCACTTATCCATACGTCTATCAATAACAATTACATAACTTTTCTGCTCTTCTTCAAGTCTGAAATTATCATTCAACCATTTCAAATGCTATTATTAATTTCGACTATTTCATTTTAAATTAGTTGACATCTTGCAAACATTTGGTTATTGTTGATTTAAATAAAATAGAAGAGATAATCGAAAGAGCTAAAAATGATGCAAAAATGAGATGGAGGTTAAAAATTACTGAATTTAACTTTTCATTAGATTTGAAATGTTTACGGTGGTATTTGAAGAAGATAGGAAATGAGAAGATCAAGTTCCACTTCGGCTAATTGAGATCTGCTGTCCGGAAATATAAGCACCGGACTACCATCTTTTGTACGAGCACCTAAAAAGAAAGAAAATGGAATAAATTTAATTGCAATTTTTTTTTAGCAAAACAAATACTAATTTATTTTTTTTTGCTTCTTATTTTTTTATTAAACAAAAATTAAAAAAATAAAGAAATGATTAAATTTTAAAAGTAATTTTTCCACAAAGAAGGAGCAGCTTTCGTATTGCCAAAATAAATTGGATATTATAAATTAAATGAGTTGTAAATTTATATTAGCTGAAAATTTTTAGAAATAAATTTTCCCAAAAAGAAAATTTGTGTTGAATGCGGAAAAAAGGACGGAAAAATAACATAAATATTTTGAAATAAAATGACAAAAAAAAGTATTATATATTATTTGGAAATTTTTCAGTAAGCAAAAAAGAAAAACTCATTTAAAAAAAATTTTTTTTGGGAATTAAATTTTTAAAAAGGATTTGCCATTCCATGTTATAAAATTTATTTTTAATGATGAATAAAGGAATTTTTTAATTAAAATAAAATTTAAAAGATTGGATAAGGTTTTTTCGTTTTTCAATTAATATAATTAAAATGAATGAAAAATTTTTCATCAAATTACCATTAGAAAAGGGTGTAATTTTGTGAATGATATTTCGAATGATAAGCCAAATTATCACCCATGTATCAATGAGGAGAAATAGTAATCCAATCAACATCACATAACAAACAATTAATTAATATTATTTTAATTAACCCGATAAGAATTTGCCGGGTTAACTGCTAACACTCATCAAAGTGGTTAAACGAAGTTTAAAAAAATGTATGATACGTTCATATATAAATAAATAACAAATTGAGATGCTCAATTATAGTGGGAAAATATGAAATATGGCTGTTTTTAAAACGAAAGAGTTTGATGCTTAAATTTGTCTTATTAAACATTCATCGTAAGCTGATTTTAATTAACTTAATTAATATTGTCATGTCTTCAATCAAGAATGTTGTAGAGTTACATTTGTTTGTTTCAAATTGTAAAATTATTTCTTTGTTCAAATAAAACAGTGGTTTCAAGAACAAATAATCAAGAGCGAGAAGAATTTTATGGAAGAAAGAAGAAAGTGAGAACAAAAATCGACTGGAAATTTTCTTCTTTTAAAAAAAAATTATACAAAGAGAAGTAAAAACATATAGTAAATAAAACGATTACAGGGAAACAAATCAAAAGAATTTCCAGTAAAAACAAAAAATTTCCAAAAATTTGAAATAATAGAAAGAAGCAGCAAAAGAGATGGTAATTGCTTGAATAAAGAAAAATGAAGTAAGTATTAAGCAACAAATTAATAATGATAATAATATCTTTGTTTAAGTCATTCTTGTTTTATTCTACCTGATACTAATCTTTCACTAGTTTTAGTTTTTGTTTTCGTATATTTCATTATTGGCACTACTATTGCTATATTATAATAACTAAATTTTAATGTCCAAGTCGTATTCAACACAACATTTTAATTTAGAATTGCAAAAATTTGATTATATAAAATTATAATATTACTTACAATGCCTTTTTTTGTAACCTTACTGATAAAATTTACAAGAAAAGGCAATGATTTTTCATTATAAGAGTATATTGCTTGAACAAAAAAATATACTTGGTTAAAATGTACGCTTGCTTTAACGTATTTTGATAAAGTAATAAATATAATCAGTTGAAATTACAAATTTAAATACACCCAATGGACATTGTGTTCATATATACATTAAATTCAATTCAACGCATACGTCATGCAGATTAAATTCGATTCAACGTGCATGTCATATACATTCTTAAAAATTTTAATTTGTTTATAAAATCGCAAAAGTTTCAGCAATGAATAAATAACAGAAATTATGAGATACATGCATAATAGAAATAGAGAAGTGATTTAGTTCAATAAATTTCTATATATTATTTAAATATTCAAATCGCGCAATAAACCATTCCTATTCATTTCATCATTCACTCACTTTTCAAAAATTTAGAAAAAAAAGAAATAATTACGATGAATATCACCTTATTTACATAAATTATACACCAATTTTATTTTCATTTCTATCCTCAATCGATATATTGATTATCTCAGTAAGATTAAATGGAAAGGATGAGTCATAATTATTTTATTTATCTGTGAAAAAATATGTACAGCAATATTAGCTAATTAATATCTATTCTTAGAAGTCCTTTGACTACTTCTAAATTATAGTAAAATATCAGTGTATATAACAATTTTATTCAAAAATTTCATCAAATTTTTGGTAAATTTTTTTAAAAATAAATTAAAAAAATTAAGTGGACTACAGAAAATTAAATGAAATCATTGATTTTCAAAAAGTAGTATTTAAAGGTCGTTTCGTAATTTTTAAATGGAAGTATATTCCTTATTAGAATTTATTCCTAATGTAAATTAATATTTGCTATGCAAGTATTAATTTATAATCACTTATAAGGAGCTTTGAAATAAAATTTCGAAAATTAATAAACATCTTACAAATGGTATTGCTATGGAAAGGAAAAAAAGATCAAAATTTATTTGAATTTCATCTTCGTTCTATTCTAACCTGATTTCTATCTTTGAGCAGAAATAAAAGCGAAAGGAAAATTGATTATAAATAGCATTAAATTATTACCATTAAAGGATACAAAAAATAATGGAAAAGGTTCAAAAATAGTTTTGAAAAATTATCAATTTAAAAAAGACAAAGTAGATAGCACTTTTGTTAATTTAAAAATGCAAAATACACAGCACTTTTAGCATAATTTTAAGCATGATTAATTCAGTATAAATTATTCATTAGAAAATAAGCCATTTTTTAAATATAAACCCAGCGTACTGAAACAAAATCGTTACAGTAAGCAGAATATAAGCTGAATTTCTGATGGGACGCGTCAACATACTGTATAGGACACGGTAGCATGGTGATATTTGCTGCAATCACTTTTTTTTTAATTACAAATTCGAATTTTTTATCGAAATGAGATTAGAAGAATCGAATAAATGTAAATTGAACTAATATATATTATTGTGATTTGAAAAATAAAGAAAAACGAATTGAAATTGTAGAAGGAAAAGATAAAGAAATGAGTGGAACGTTATCTATTTGCATAGTGCCAGATGTTCAATCATCAAAATTCTCTTCAAATTCAAATTGTTCCTTTTTTTCACCCCTCCCCCGTTATAGACGCTCTGTATATTTAGTTGAGGTATTTATTATTAATGAAAATAATAATAATAATAGTAATAGTGCTGACAATACCAATGTTAATAATAATAGAGCGTGTTCACATAAGGTAAAATTTTTAAATTATTAAATCAAAATATCATATAACATTATTTTCTAATTCACATTAAATTTTATAATTTCTTTTTTTTTTTGGAAAAAAAAATTAAGTGATAAAAAAATTCTCATTTTTCACAATTAATGAATATATTTATTTAAATGGAAAAAATAATAGAATTAAATGGGTGAGCAGCAGATGGATGAAATTAAATAACTTAATTGTTAAGCTTAAAAGAACGATAAAATGTTCTTAGTTGAATGAAAATAAAAACAACTTTCGTTTACTAAGTGCCGTTATCAATCTTTTTGTCATTATCTTCTTTCTGCTATTCTCTAATGATACTGTTAAAAATTTTTAGTGTTTTAACGGAAAATTTTATTTTGTTTTTGCTTTAAAGTTTTTTTTTTTCCTAAAAAAGGATAATTCTCATTTTATTAAACAGTTTATATTTCTGTAAATAATCTATATTCTTGTTTAAGAATAAATAATTAAAGCAACAAAAGTAGTAGAATGAAGTTTTCGGATGAAAAAATTCAGTTGTGAATAACCTACGATAATGTAATGATTGTGTGCTTCTCTTAACTCTTGAAAATTACTGATGGTTTAATTGGATGGGTTAAATAAAAATTGAAAATAGCAACACAAAAATTTTAACAAAAAAAAATTCAATAATTTTGCATTCGAACCGAAGTTTTCAAGAAATTTAATTCTAATAAGCCATGTTATGAAGGCAAGAGTGGCTGAAAAATACGATTTATGTGCTTTTCGCAATTCTTAAAGATTATTGAGTCAAATACCAATACTTTCTCTACAGATTTTTTTAATGCTATATTTTGGAATAGAACTTGAAAACTTCTCTGTAACTTAATAATAATGATTCCCTAAAAGTTCTACCATTTAGGTATAGTTTCTAGATAATCCCTTAAATTTATTACCGGAAAACAGATTATGTTAAATGATTTAAATCACAGAAGTACGGCGATAGTTATTGAATTTTTCAATGCCAAATTTTTCGTCTCATTTCTGTCAGATATTCCAAGTTCCTTTTCTGCTCCCATCTCAGCTGACAGCCCATGACAATCCCAACCAAATCTACGTTCAACCTTTTTTGTAGCATAGTCTGATAACTCGCAAATGCATCCTTTATGAAACCAGTGAGTAAGTAAGTGCCCATAATATGGAAGTCCATCATAAAAGACAAAACAATTATCCTTAGAACGTTTCTCAATTGACTGTTCAAAAATTTTGTTTTCCTGCCAAACTTTGAAGTAATTTAATAATTAAGAAAAATTTAAAATAATCATAAGTAGTAACCATAATTGAAAAGGTGTAATAAATTTCCATTTAAAAAGAAATATTTTGAATTTTAAAAATTCAGTTGTTTTTCTTTGTCCTTTAAAATCTCAACTTTATTTCTTTTTCCTAACATAATGCGACAGATACATATATATGAGAAAAAAGATGAAAAGACCAATAGAATTTATTTCATTAATTAATACGTTCTGCAATTATAAGTAAAGCGAAGTAGAAAGAGAAACAAAAAAAAAAAAAGCAAATAAATAAAATAAGTAAACATACCGGTAATAAAAGCAAATCTCGATGCTAAAATATCTGAGATTTCCTTAATTTTAATCCGTTTATTGCCAACGTCCATAAAACCATCTATAAATGTGAAAATAATCAATTAATAACAAAAAATTCCAAAAAAAAGAGGTGAAATATTTAAATCAAAAACTTGTTCTTTACTTCAAAATTTATTCCTTGAAAATATTATCAAAAGTAAATTGATTTGATCTCAGAATATATTATTTGATTGACAATATTTTTATGACTTATGTATACAAATTGTTAATAGAAAAATTGATAAATTGGTTGATTAAATATTTTCAAGTTTCTATTTTATATTCTTCTTAGTATAACAAAAAAAAAAAAAATGAAAGAATATTGTTATTGAATATTACAAAAAAAAAAAAAAAAAAATTCAAATTAGGCACAAAATCCTGATCTAAAATATAAATTTGATGATAAATTCTGATAAAAAGAATGATAATTTGAAAATAACAAAAGCACAATATTAAAAATAATAATAATAATATGATAGTGATTATGTCAATAATGATATTGGTAAAAGAAGTGATAATATTAAAAATCCATGTCGTTTATAAATCTTACTATCATCACTATCGCTCTTATGATAAGTTATTATTCAGTTATAATTGCTATTATTATCAACAATTCCATCATTAATGTACTATTATCATATTCCATTATAAATATATTATCATGTTCTATTATATGCAGCGTTAATTGCTATTGATTATCACTGTTAATAATAGAAGTATAAGCATTACTAAAATTAGTTTCAATAGTTGTAGGAGTAGCTGTCGTAATAGATTTATTATCAGCAATAGTTTTCATGACGACTGATAATCAAAATATATATGTAGTAATTATTGCAGTAACAATAGTAGTAAGTATTTATCACTAAATTTAATATTACCAGCAATACTATAAATAATAGTTATCACGACAATTGATAATCAGTAAAGCAGCAATTACGCAGTGATAATAGTAGTATCTAATTAATGCAATTGTTGTAATTTCAGTATTAGTAGTAGTGGACGAAGTAGTAGCGGTAGTGGTCTTTATAACAAATAATAATGGCGGTAATGTCAACCAACAACGACAAACAACAACCATATAGAGCTAATAATAGTAACTACTATTAATAAAACTGGCTTTTGTCATAATTAGAATATATAATTTCGAATATTGTTGCAAGTGCAAATGCAAAAAATCTTATGCCTCATTTTATAACTTATTATATCATATTTAACAAAAAAGACCTTTTTTTTCTTAAAAAAAAAGTGAAAATCAACAAAATTACGATTGAAAAAAGAGAACTAAAAAGAAAGGAAGAGACCAAGTCTCGTCATATGAATTTTATGATATTAATATTGAACGAGCCATTTCCTAAGCTCGTTTTTTTTTTCTTTCATTTCTTGAAATGACCTTCAAAAATATCAAAAAATTTCTTCGTTATAATAAAAAACTAAAAAAAAATTGCGTAAGAATAAAATAATGAAAGTTCAAAATTTATAAAAAATATGACCAACCTTCTCCTTTTGAGATAAAATTTGATATCTTATCATTTAAACTCTATATAGAATTGTCAGTAATTTTTCCGTTTTTTTTACAAGTACTTTTCATAATTAAAGAATAGAATATTTACAAACAAGTTGAACTAACAAAAGAAAAAAAAACAAGAACTTGATAACAGAATAGTATTGTAAAAAGATATTTAAAGAATTAGAAATGCAATTCATCCAGGTCTCATTTTAATCTCCACTTAAAAAATTTACTCTATTTTTTCGCCTGGAAAAGTTTACTTCTAATCTGAAAATTTGTACTAAATGTGTTCGATACAAAAAATATTATAAATGAATTTTAAGAATAAGTAGATCTTTAGAAAGTTTAAAAAATTAATCGGTAATCGATATTTGTCATAAAAATTGTGATAAAAATGCTAGAAATAATAATTACAAAAAAAAAATTTTATTTTATTATTTTATACATTATTTTACAAATTCTAGATTTTTCATTATATAAACGAATTTAACTAATTTCATATTTCGTTATCTTATCGTGGCAACCATAAAATAAATCCAGACTGAAATTTTCATCGATCAAATCATTAATATAATCCTGTTTATTATTCATAATGTAATTGAAGTTTCAGAACGTTTGAATGACAAGCTAATTGACAATCTCAAAGAAATAATTCAAATTTCAAAATCAAAAGTTTTAAAACAGTTTAAGTTCAAGTGTAAATTAACAGATTCTACTAAGCGGAAAATAAATTTCATGGACAAATCCTAATAACCATCTCACAAAATTAAGAAAATCAATATGTGATTAATGATTCACCAATTTGCTAATCATTTAAATATCAAACAATGAGTCATTTAAATATCTCAAGAACAAAATGTAAAAGTACAAGTTATACACCGCAAAAATTTAACCTAAATAATTAAAATCAAAATTAAAGAAATTTTTTATATAGTATTTGATTATTGCTTTGATTATTAATATTCATAGTGATCATATCTGCTTGTCACTTCATTACATATTAGTAATTCCTTGATAAGAGATTGAATGAATGCACAGATGCGCAAGTGGATTAATTGGATGAGTTAAAGGAATTAAACAGGAAATGATGATTACTTGAGGCGGATCCGGTCTATGATATTGTGAATGATTTAGGATTAAGGCAATTCGATCGGACGATGACAATGATAATTATAATACAATTTTTCCCGGACTTTTTTATCCTTTTATTAAACTGATTACTGTTATTATATTTCCATCACAGTATAATCAACATTATTATCATAATCATTATTATTAAAGATGTTTTAGTAAAAATTCACATTTGTCGTTCAAAAAGAGATTGGAGCACTTTAATTTTCAGCATCATTATATTATTTATTGTTATTAATATTTACTAATATTACTATTATCGAAATATATCGCAGTAAAATTTCAAATTTATATTGAAAAAGATTTAATATTTGTCGTCATTAATATCACTATTATTATTTACCATAGTTTTCATCAAAAACTCATTTTAGTAAAACTCTAAATTTATCGTAAAAATGATAATGAATAATTTTTATTGTAATAATTACTCGTCCTATTATCATAATAACTACTACTATTATTATCATTATCATAACTATGATATCATCACAAATATTTTTTAGTAAAATTACAAATTTTTCGGGACAAAGTGATTAAGGTTCCAAAACAAGAATAAAAAAGAGCAAGTTAAAACTGTGTTTACATTAAGATTGAATGCCTTTTTTTAAATATTTTCTAAAACACAAATAAAAGTAACAAAAAAGACAAATATGACCAATTTGAATTTGTGAAAAGTGAAACAATTGATTTAATTTTAAGCATTTTCAACGAATTTACAAAATTTACAAATAGTTATTGATTGACTGAGATGAAAACAATAGCATACCATAAAATAGGTATGTGAAAAATTAATCAGTGAGTTATACTTTCTAAATTAGTATAAAATTTGTATAATTAATTTCATAATTAAATTACCTACAATTAATCACATTTGATAATTAGCTTACAATTAAGTTTTAAAAATATTATAAATAATAACTTTACTTACCCCAATTATCATCATCAGTATCACTGTTTACTTCGCTGATATCTTGATGAATAATCCATCCAGTACCATATTGATTATGCTGTGAACGTTCTAAAACGGATTGATAACCGGATTCTTCCAAAAATTCGGCTGATTTTAAAGCCTCTTTCAGTGCCCGTAAATCAAAATCCATATCATAGTGAAATTTTGGTGCTTCCATAGAAATAGCACTATCTGATTTCGGTAGTTTCCTATAGCTGATAAAATTTTATCATTAAAAAATTTATTTCCAAAACAAAACAAAAAAAAAAAACCCTTTTATTTTACCATTAAATAAAAAAAGAAGTCTTGAAATTTAAGTTTAACAAAGAGAGAAATAATGATTAGAAAGGAAATAAAACAGTGTTTTCGTTTTTTTACTCCCAAAAATTAAATTCAGTTTTTTTAATGACATTTATTTATGTTTTTCTCCTTTTTTTTTTTTTTTTGTAAACAATTGAGCTTAATCAATCTGTCATTCAACGAAATGAACAGGTCAAAAGGTAAAATTTTATTTACTTTTATGACACAGCTAAATGAAAACCAAAATTTCTTATTCAGTCAAATTCCATTTTTTTTTGTTTCTTTACATTCTATCTTTGAATTATTTAAGGATTTTTAAGATTATTTGCATTTAAATTAAACCATAATTTGTTATAATTTTTTTGTATTAACAAATGATAAGAAATAACAATTTTTTTTATGAATTTTTTTTTTTAAAAATACGCATTGGAAAATTACTATTTCAAATGATATTTTTCAGTGTTTGTAATTAAGTATTCGTCCATTCTTTTCAGCAATAATTATTGATAATTAAAGGAAATTAATTCAAATTTTACGATGATCTGAATATCACCTATGCATATGAAATTGAAATTAAAATTCTGTGGCAAAAATGAATTGTGTCACAATATTTTTATTATATTCTTATCATTTGTCTCATAAATTATAATAGCAAACGATCAGTTTTTATTTTAAAAAAATGATAGCAAGAATTGCGACGATATATCTTAATGATATGAAGTAATCTTTCATTCTCGTATCAGTTAATATTATATAAGAAATTCTACTGATAAGAAAGATAAAAAGACGATAATAGCACCAGTGAATTATTATTATTTATTATTGATTAGCTAAAATTTATTGGTGCAACATTCAAAAGATATTGCCTAACAGAAAATTTTATAGGTCAAACTGATGGTAAAATAACGAAAAGGCCAACAAAGAAATTATTATCCATTATATGTTATATGAATGATTGAATAAATTAATTTGTTTATCATTTCATCAACAATAAAACAATTATCTGTTCACTTCAAAAATTTTGACAACAGAGACAATTAATAATAGCAATATTTTTAATGAATCGTAATCGAAAGAAATAAAATTAAATTAAGTAATTGAGTAAAACAAATGAAATGAATAAAGAAAAGGTATATGAACATACTCATAGGCAGGTGTATTGGATAATTTATGTCGTTGAATGTTTGGGGCGCAAACTGATGAGGTTGACGCGGTCAAGCTACCGTAACACGACAGTTGACCTCCAGATGATGATTCCCACAGCGATCGTGGCGGTTCTAATAGACGCAATGTTGTATTTCCTATTGATGCTATAAAAAAAGACATTGCAAATTTTCATAAAATATTTAATTAAAATTAAAATATGCTACAATATAGGTATGACTTATAAATAACCTCTTTTTAGGAAAGATTTGATAAAAATTGGAAATGATTTGAAATATACAAATATTTAATCCAAAAAATTCCTTTCTGATCCTTTTTTTTTTGTTTTACTCTTTTTTTTTTACAAATAAATATCAAAATGCATTGAATTTTTCAAAAAATCATTCGAACACTTTGCTTTTTTTATTGTCATTAATTTATTAGAAATGTTAAAAAATGTCATTTTTAATTGTGATACTTCTATAAAACATTTTTTTTTTGCGTGAAATGGTTGCTGTAAATAGGTTATTTAAATTAATGAATAATACTGACTGCTACGTTGTCATATCTTTCTTTAATTGTGCTATTATTATTATTATTATTATTATTATTTTTTTTTTTATAATTTTGAATAGAAAAAATTTATTCCTAAAAAATGATAATGTAAATTTTCTTTAATTCTGAATTTTTTGATATTTTTTTATATTAAATGATTTGTTGTTGAATATCTAAAGAACTGATTAATAGAAGAAAATCAAAATTTAGCGTTCACTATTATCAAATTAAATCTTTTCAATTACTTAATTGTTGAATGTTATGAATTGTCGTCAAATTAATTCATTTTAATAATTTAATTTGAAGTTTAATTAAGAAGAGAAAAAAATGAAGCATGGATAGAAAATTGATTTATAAAGTAAATGAAGAAAAAAAAAGACGAATTACATCAAAAAAGGTTGAAAAATCAACGATTTATTTAATTATTATCAATTACTAATAATAATAACCTGTATCAGTTGATCCCACATTTTCCATCAGAAATGTTTCAAAAAATGGATTTGAATAGCTATTTAAATTAGAGTGCGTAATTTTGAAATGTATTATTTTGTATGTCAATTAGCTGATGAGTCAATATTATTGTTCGTTTGCTTGCTGTGATTGATCAAATGATTAAAATTTGATAAATTACACAGCGTGTCGTTAATCATTCATTCTTATCATTCATTAATTAAAAACTTCTTTTATTCCAAATATTTTCTTATCTGAAACAAAAACAATTTTTTTAAAGGAAAAAAGTAAGTGGATATAATAGAAAGCGCATGCAGTTGAAAAAAAATATTACTGAAATTTATTTCTTGGGCGAAAATTTTTTTTATTAACCACTCGCTATGCCAAAATCTCGAAGAATAATTAATGAATTCAAATTTTTTCCTTTTATTCTAAGTATTTTGGTATCAGAAATAGAAAAGTCGATTTTTTCTTTTTTTTTTTTGAGAAAAAAAAATAAACGGATATATTCTTAAAAACTACAGTATTTGATTGAATTGATTGCTTATCAATTTCAATGCTAATGCAGTAATCTAGTATTATATGCCAATATCATTGCATTATTATTTTGGAAAATTTAACTATTATTAGAGATGGACTAGTTATTGAATTTTGGAATTAAAACCTTTTTTCCTGAATTTATAAAACTACAGCAGTTATGTACAGAACTGTGAAAAATATAAAATGATATAAAATAAGTGCAATCTCTATTTGGATAAAAACTAAAATAAGAAAGGAATTGGAAAAAATACATACTATTGTCAATTTACCTGTAAATTAGGCACCATATGACCTCAACATGCACTTGAGCTAAAAAAATATGTGATATTCTCATATACCTCAAACACACACCTGAAATACTTTGTAAATTTATTAAAATATACCAAATGTAATTAAAATAAGCCTTGAAATTCAAAATTATACATGACAGTTCTTTGTACTTCTTTTTCTTAAAGCAAAAAAAGAAATAAACTACGATAAATTAGGCTTAAAATCCATTATATTGAGCAAAATATTTAATAAAAATCGAAAAAAAAATTTTTTCAATAATTGAAATAGTTTAACTAAACGTTCCAAAATTAGAAAAGGGGAATTTTGTAAATTTTATCCTTTCAAAGTAAAACTATTTAATAGCATTTGTTTATTGTCATTTATTTAAGTTTGTGTTTAAAATTATTTTCCAAAAATAGAATCCAATTTTGCACTGTTCAAAATTTTATTTTATGCTAACTAAATAATTTTTAATGTAAGATATCGAATTCATTCTGTTCCTATTGGCATAAACAACAAACTTACTACTGGTTGTAGCTGATATGACCACTATTTTTCTCATCCGCAACAATTCTTAGTGACCACTAAATATATGACTACTACACCCACGCAATTATATGCCTCTCCTCGATGACCGAAGTGGTCAAATCTATTCTTGGTCATTTCCTCGTCCTCAGCATCTTCTTTCTAACATTCAATCTTTGTTGACCAAACCTATTTACTGCTATTACCTCCCCTCTCTATTTTTTGCCACTCTGCACATTATATTTCCTAATGAGTGGATTGTCAATGGATCCGGAATTCAATTTAGCTTATTTCCACTAAATTACCGAACATAGTCCTATTGCAAGTTACCTGAATTATTTACATGTAGCAAAAAAAAAAAAGAAAGAAAGAAGCAAAGAAGAAATTCATATATATCATTATAATTTTTATTTCACAATTTTTATTTCTAAAGAATATTAAAATTATTGCTTCAAAATTTTCTAAATTATTCTAAAACTGAAAATAAAATTGAAAAAATTCGCATCTAAGAATTTTTTTTTTTTTAAAAAAGGATTTTCGGTATATAATCATGATATACAAAATATTAATTATTGAGAAATGGCAAAAAAAAAGTGAAGAAAAAGATTAGGTCATTGCCATTATGACTTCTGCGCTTAAAAAGGTTACTGTAGTTATTCGTTTTTTTTTATGTATGCAACAATCTGGAATGAGTAAATGTACTATCATTATAGTTCAATTCAATTTATATTAGATGAATAGCAAATTAGGCTAAGAAATTTCTAGGCAAAAGTTTCAAGAGGGCCAAAAAAAAAAGAAAATCGAAAATGAAATAAATGGAAGAAGCCTTAAGGCATTTTTTGCGCTTTTAATTTTATTTATTTGCCTTAGAAAAGAAATATTACTGTGTTATAGAGAAAGAAAGTGGTGAATAGTAAGAAAAAAAAAGACTAGCTAGTAACAGCTATTTGAAATCGATTCAAGCCAGAAATCAGCATTTAATTTTCCTTCTCTCTCTCTTGCCGTCTGACTTGTATTGGTAGCCTAGGCTTTGGTTTATAGACAGGCTCAAATCTATTCTTCACTGTATGCATGAAATTTACCTTCTCTCTCAATTTTATTTATCTCTTTTTTTCTCTTTCCGTTTTTCTTCCTCTTCTTATTTTAACAAATCCGTTTTTTCTCATTTTTTTCATTTCTCACGGGATCAAATATTCATATTTTGTTTATGACTTTTATTTTGTTTACTTTTCCTAGTCTTTTTTTAACTACTGCAAGTAATGATATCACTGATAAGATTATCATCATTAACAATGATTGATTTGCAAATACAAATAAGCAAATAAAATATCATTCAATGATATTGTTATATTCATATATAGATAATCATATTTTTCAATATATAATTAAATTGAAGAGTTGTAAAATTTTCATTATCCAAAATTAATTCCAGCATTTTGATGCAATTAGTTGTTAATTAAACTTCGGAACAGAATAAACAAACTACAAGTAATACTAATATCATTTAAATTGTTAAAATTGATATGCTACGAGAAAAAGAAGTTAAAATGCTAATAAAAGTGAAAATTTTTATGTATATACATGCTATATACTTCAATAGTATTATTGCAAACTAGATTAATTAAAGTTAAATACTAATTAAGAACTAATAAAACGAATAACTTTTCTTAATTTCATAATTAAATTTTTCTTTTTCTCTATCATACAATCATCGATAATTGTAATAAAAAACATAGTTATCATATTAAGCATTTAAATTCATCATTATCATTCAAATGATAACATTTATATGTTTAAATTTTAAATTAGATATACATTAATAGTGAATAATTCCAACTTAATTTCATATTTATTTCAATTATTTCATATATCTTATAAGATGTAAAAGAAAAGCAAATTATAATTAATTAAAATAAAAAAAAAATGAAAATTTTGAAAATACTTGAAAATAATAAATTAATAAAATCCATTTTTAAATATTTAATTTATTAAATGAAATGAAAGATGAAATCGGAATGACTTTAGCCAATAATTGGGTTTTGAGAAATGATAAGAATGGATGGAAGAAGCCAAGTAAAATGGTTGATTGATTGCATATGAGAAATGGAAAGGAAATTGGGACCGCTGTATCTATTGGACCGATTTATCTAAACACATTAAATGGAAGAATGGGGCGCTGTCGTCTATGTGTATGGACTTAATTTGATTGGCAATGGCTTTCAAATTGCGCTTTTAAAATGAAAATGTTGCAAATTTTGTAACGATTCAAATGAAAATTCTTAAAATACTTTACGTCTAATATTATTCTGTAACGTTTATTAATACGTAAAAATTTTCCAACATAATAAGTTAACATAATAAGCATTGAAAAATTTGTAATATACTGTTTCAAGAATTAGTTTATTTATAAGTAGTGAAATTTGTCGCTATTAAAACAATGCATATCTTGTTAATTAACTGATAAAATTATTAATTGCATTAATTAATTGATAAAATTATTAAATGTGTAATGTTACATTTGTTTTTTTTTTATGTTTGTAGCGAAAAACAAAAAGCAAAAAAACAAAAATTGATATTTTTAGGATTACAAAATGCGAGATACTTCGGAAATTTTAGGCAAAATTATTTTAGCAATGATTAAGTTTTATCATATCATTCCATGCATTTGTTCATAAAGTGTTAATTATATAAAAGAAATAGAATGATATTTTTGATTTCATTTATTTCCTCAGCAGTAATTAATTTTTATCAAAAAGGAAGAGAGAGAGATTGAGGAAGGATAAATAAGGAGAAGAAAACGTGCCTTTAGGTTTAAACAAAATGTACGACTACTAAAAGGAGAAAATGATGAATGAAAAGACCATAGGCCTAGTGTGCATCTATATTAGTTCAGGCCTAGTCTAGATGTATTAGTTCAGGCCTAGTTTAAATGTATTAGTTCTATCTTGGGATATGGAACTTCCCAACACCCAATTGAGATGGAAAATCGAATTTTTGCTATCTTGCAAAATTGACACCATACATTGTGATTGTGCCTTAGCAATTATATCTCAGAAATTTTCTTCTCTCTTCCTCCCATATCATTTCCTTCCTTTATTTTTCCCTTTTTACCAAAAATCAGACAAATTTCTGTTTTAACAAATTATTTTATATTATACAAATAATATTGCGAAATTATTGATCGATTACTTTTCAATAAATTTCAATGAAAAATGTTGAAAAGAAAAAAGTGTTCCTAATGTAAAGTAATAAGTTTAAATATTAAAAAAAAGAAAAAATACCTAACTGTTCCTTTCAAACGAAAGAAAAAAGTTTAAAAAATTGGAATTAAAAAAAAATCTTCAAAAATAACTGATCGAATATGGTGCATTATTTCAAATTCAAAGAAGAATAATAATTTAAATTAAATAAATTGAAGTAAAGGCGATTTTTTTGCATATTTTTTTTCTTTTTATCATTCCAGCATGAAATGCCTAATAATACACAAATATCTTATGCATACATATATGAATATATAAATAAATATTAAATATGTTAAATTAATTTTTGAATTTTCATTCCTTTCAATAATTGATAATTTTAAGATTTTTTCTAAAAAAAATAGTGAAAATTAAAATTTTTATGGCAAATAATGAAAAGGAAAAGAAAGGGGAGGAGGATGAGGAGAAAAAGAAGATAGAGATATTGATGAATATGAAGAAAGAAGATAATGATTTCAATGTTCGATTCATTATTTTCGTTTTTTTTTCTTAGCCAAAGTGATTTTATTTGCTGGTTCTTTGGATAATGAAAGATTGCAAAGATAGGAAGAAGAAAGAGAGAGAGAGAGGGAAAAAATTAAGAGGAATTGTTCATGTTTTGTCATTTGAATGTAATTTTGTCATTAAAAATTAAATATAAGTATTGTATTGAAATTATTTCCAGTAAATGAATGGATTTAAAGTTAAACCCATTTAATACATAACTTTAGAAATAATCTGATTTAAATTTATAATTTTGAAAATAATCCATGAAAAATTGATTTGTAGATATTGATTTTGTATTATTTTAAATACCAAATCTTTATTTGACTGTACATATTTTTTAAGTTTTAAAATTATTATTTTTTAAATCTCATCTTTATCTCGTATAATTCACTAAAAAATCCTAAAATTCATGAAATTTTAATGTGAAACTTTTGAAAATTTGACTAACTAAATAAAATTATGCAAGTTATTAGCCTACTAAATGAGTTTAAAAATTTTTTCAAATTGATCTTTTTACAAATTGTCATCCGAATGTTGTAAACTTAGACGTTTGGATATTCTAAAATATTCAATGACAAATAAATTAAAAGTATCATAATATACAGTCAGTGATAGTGGCGCAGTTAAACTCTTTCCCAAAAAATAATTAACAAGAAATTGGAAATCTAATGGATGCAAACCATAAAGTGTAAACTTAATGTAAAAGACTTTTAAATAAAATGATAACTAATTAAAATTAAAAAATATTCTTACATCCAAAGCGCATTAGCTAATAAAATGCATTAAAGTATGTTCGCAATAAATTCGAAGATGGAAGATTATATTTAGCAATAAAATTAAGAGTTGAAATTATCAAGAGACAGTAAATTCAGAATAGAAATTAGCGGAAAGTGATTAGTTCAAGAGAAATTAATGAAAAGCTATAAATTGAAAACCTCATAAATTAATATGAAGCAGTAACTTTCACAGCAGATGATTACACAATAAGTAATAACTTCAAGAATGAAAGTTAGCAAAGAGTAGCTCAAAAATAAAGTTAACAAAATTGCAGATGAATTTGAAAATAGAATTAAAATAGAAGCGGTGAATTTGAGGATAAAGTCAACAAGAATTGATAAATTCGAGAATGGAGTCGACAACAAGTGGTAAATTCAAAAATTAAAATTATTAAAAAGTGGTAAAGTTGAGAATGAATTGGATAATAATTAATAAAAGGAAGCAATAAAATTTTCGGATGAAAATTAATTTTAAATTTGATAACTATGGGAAAAAATTATGTCATAAAGTAATGATGAAAGGAATTTCGATGATTTGATTAAGATAATATAAATTTATATCCATTGAATTCGATGGAATGAATATGAAATTTCTCTTCTGTTCATGGCATCAAATAAATGAACACTTTGAAATGGCACACAAGCAAACACACACACACACACACACACACACACACACACACACACACACACACACACACACACACACACACACACACACACACACACACACACACACACACACACACACACACACACACACACACACACACACACACACACACACACACACACACACACACACACACACACACACATAGACAGGCAGAGTCAGACACATTTGAATAATTTTTCATTAGAGTTACTGCAAGAAAATTTTTAAAAAATGCTGAAAATAAAAAAGAATTGAAAAATGGTAAAAATAGCAAAAAAATTGTTTTTTTCAATTTTTGTTTCATTTTAGTTATTTTTGACCTTAATTCTAAGTTTTATTAAATTTCTTACAAAGTAGTAATTTTAAAATTTTAATTGCAATCATTTTTAAAATCTTTTTTCATCAATTAGATCAAATGGTAGCGATAAATAAGAAAATCGATGATAGATTAATTTCGCCAAGATATATTTAGAATTTTTAAATACTATTTTGGTGTATATGTGCTTCAAATTCAAGCATAGTTAAATGTATTTGATTTAAAATAAATTCAAATGCATAATTTTAGCACTTTTTTGCTGGTTGCATTGTTTTTTCAAACTTTTTCTTTTTTTAAGTTATTTTGCTTTGTATATATTTGTATGCATAGCAACGATGCAGCGGACCAAAATAAATTTTAAATCTTTGAGTTAATGGTTAAAAGAAAAAAGGAATCTTTAAACAAAATTCTAAAAAAAGAAAAAGCGTGGTTTTCTTGGCCAGGAACTTAAGATTTCTTGGCTAAAAAAGCTAGGAACAACCTTATATTTGATCATTTGACTACATTTCTTGTTTTAATTTTCATTTGTCTTTCTATTCTTTTTTTAAATATATTTTTGTATTCTGCAATTTCTTTAAAAATTTTCATAATAATGGCAATGATAATGGTTCGATTAATGTGACAACATCAAAAAAACAAATGAATTGAATTAAAAAAAAAAAGAGCATTAAATTACGAATTATCAACTTGTTTTTCACTAATCAAATTTGAGTTCTTTATTGCTTTATTCTTTAAGTTTCTTTCAAGTTCAATTTATGATGAAATCAAATAAAAACAATAGAAAGCGGCGTTGTATTTTTATCAGAATTTGATCACAAGGCACTATCATATTCATATATAACTATATTCTTTAGTCTTATATATGATGCTTTACTTGTTCTCATGCAAATTATAACAACTTTTTTTTTTTTTTTAGTTGAGCTACAAAATCTTTTTGTCAGGTTAAGAACAAGGCATTATCACATTCGTATTATATTTTTATCAGAATTTAATACATACTGTCAGATATTTAATTTTCATATTATGCTTTTTCTTGTTTTCATGCGAAACAATATTTTTCCTTAATTGTCCTATAAAACTTTTTATCAAAATTTGATAACAAGGCACTATCAGATCTGTATTTAGCTATATTTTTTCTAGTTCTTATATGTTATGCTTTTGCTCGTTCTCTTGCAAATTACAATTTTTTTTTTTTAATTGACCCATTAAAATCAAACAAAAACGACAATGTAAAGAAAAAAAATAAGAATAAAAGTAAAACAAAACAAACTTTCTAATGAATTATTCAATATTTGCATCATTTATACAATACATTCAATACGTAAAGAAAAGAAAATATCCACACACATACTTTTTGCTATGTGTAATTAATTAAGCAAAAAAAAAAACTCTTTTTAGCAATATACAAATAAAATTTAATTCCTTTTGTCAATTATACCGTATCAAATAACAGTACGTTACTTTTGCCACTATAAATATATTAACTATAGCATTATAACCGCTTACTGAATATCAAAAAAAAAAAAGTTTAGGTAACAATAATATAACCGGATGAGAAATTCTTTTTTTATCGAGCAGAATTAGAATTAAGAAAACACGGGGATAAAAATAATTTCATACAAAATTGATGAATTCAAATTTAACCCATCTTTTCGTTTTTTTTTTTTTTCTTTTTTACAATTTAAATCTTCTTACTTCTATCAATTTTATGTTTCCTTCGTTCCTTTTCTTTTTTTTTTCTTTTTGTATACATGCAATTTAAAGTAATCAAATGTAAAATCATAAAATTAACAAAAAAAAAAAAATAATTGCAAAAAAAGTCTCAAAAAAATGCGAAAATTAAAATATTTTTATAATAAAGAAGCAAAGGGTAAACGGAAGAAAAACAGGAAGAAAAAATTTGATAATATATGAATTAAAATAAATTTATTTAAACGTATTTATTAAATGTTTCCCTAATATTCTCTAACTCGTTTTTCCCTCATTATTTGATTGATTATTATTATTATTATTTATTTTTTTTTTTTTGAAAAATGCAAAACAAACAAAAGACATGAAAAAAATATCAATTAGAAGCACAATGCTGCAATTAAATTACTGTTGGAAAAATTTTTACACAAATTGCAGTGTGTAAGGCGATTAATTTCAAAAACAACAAGGGCAAATAATGAAAGAAATGAAATAATTTGAAATGATTTTTTCAATATTTTTGTATGGAAAAAATTGGTAAGCAATGGAAAATAGTAATGAAACGAGCAAAACAAAAATAAGAAATTAAAATGGAAATAAAAAACGATTGGCAAGTAAAAAAAAATTCTTAATTAACAGAAAAAAGTAAAAAATAGTCACAAAAACTTTTGCAAGAATGATAATAAAAATAATAATAATAATGAAATGCTATTTTGAAGTGTCATACTTAACTTACTGATCAAATCATGTCATTTTATTTTTCTTTTTTATTTTCATCAACCGCATAATTATTAGTTGTCAGATAACGAACATGAAAAATTAATTAAGGAAAATTAAATGGAAAATTTTAATGATAAAAGGATTTTGAATAAATATACAAAAATGCAAACAAATAAACAAACGAGCAGACAAAAAGCAAAGAAATAAACAAATAAATAGGCAAATTAATAAATAAAAGAAGTGAAAAAACTGAAATGTTAAAAGAAAAGAAAGAATGAAATAAAATGAAAAAAAAGTGAAAAGGGAAAAAAAGAAGAAAGAATATTACAATATTAATATATACATATTTTTATAATTTTCCATTTATAAATATATCACAGAAGAAGCTTTGATCACAAAAAAAAGCATAAATTTTAATTTTAAATAATATATATTTATGTAATATAATGCATATTAGAAAATGTATTTATTTATTTTCTTAACTAATTGCGAATAAATCTTTTTTATTTAATTGGAAAATAAAGAACAAGAAAGCAAGCTTTTCTTTCTCATCAATTAGCAATAATAAAAGCATAAAAAAGGCTTTTAAATTGATTAACAAATTAATCACTTAATAGTTTGTATTAAAAAGAAAAGAAAAGAAAAGAATTGATGAAGCCTATTATGACGTATCACTTGTTTGAAAACCACTATCCGTTGTATCATTACCATCTTCTTCTAGCGCATCGTCTTTCAATTGATCTTTGATATTACTACAGTTTGGCATAATGCCATTTTCTTTCACTAATTTATCTGAAAGTTCCGAAAGTTCCGGAATTCGAACTTGCATATCGGCAATTAATGTTGTTAATTCATCACTTGTAATAGAAACCGCATCACCGCTAGCATGTGAACCAATTGCGCCTGTCTGCAAATAAATTGCAACTTTTTTGTGCACTTTTTTTTAATGTTTTATTCTAGTTTGAAAAATTATTCACTTTTGATTAATTGGATAAGATAGTTAACATTTATTAAAAGAAAGGGAAAAAGTATGATCGATTTAATCATAAAAAAATTAAAAAAATTATCTGAAATGTACAAAAGCTGAATAAATATAATATACAAAATATTAAAAAAATTTATAAGGAAAAAATATATATATAATATACAAATTTAATTCATTTTAAATTGGTTAGCTTAAAGATAATTGTTTGAAGATAATAATAATATTAAACTACAATAGAATGAAGAACATTTATAATTGAATACAATTATAAATCATCATTTGAATAAGTAAACTTAAGAAATCCCGTAATTTGAATCAATGAACTTAAAAAAAATAAATACTAACTTAAATATTTGCAAAAATAGTTAAATTGCCATAAATTAAATAAATGATTTGTCTGGAATACCAAAAAAAGAATAAATTAACAAACCAAAGAATCATCGTCTAAATCACATATGGAGCTACCTCGTAACTGAGTATGAGTCCATTTCTCGGCTTTCTGTAATCTTTAAAACATAAAATACTAAAATAGAAAAGATAATCTTATAAATTGAATTTCAGTAAATTTAAATGCTAAACTTAATAAATTATCACATATAATTACTTTCTCTTATTATAAAACTAATTAAAATGTTTCATTATAATGAAGTTACATTCATAATGAGTAATAATAGCATTCATAATATAGACTTAACTTTTACACCTAACTCAATAAAAACATACTTTAAATTCAAAAAGATGAGAAATAGCTGTTATAACAAATTTCTTTCTAACGTATACCTAAGTTTTCAACAGCTTAAACCAACAAAAAGTATTTTAATGATATGTTTTACAATGTTTACCTAACGCTGCTAGAAGTGAATCAATAAAGGTCTAAAATTTTAAAACTGAAAATAGTTTCAGACATTTCACAAATTAAATCAATGAGAATACTTACCTTAAGTTCAAGATGAGTAATAGCTTGTTTCAAATCAGCAATATGTTGCATTGCTTCACTATACTTTAATCGTTCCATTACTGATCGTTCCTTTAGCTCACTTTCTACTTCGACCGCTTTACGTCTTTCTTCCTTAATTTGATCCGAAAGCTCTTTCTGACGCTAAACAAAATAAAATTTTAATTAATTTTTAAACTAAATTTAATTAGGTAATATAATGATGATACGAATGATAAAAACGATAATGACAGTAATTTATGACGATAATAACAATAATAATAATAATCAGTAACAGTGACAACAGATAATTAGAATAATAGCATACCTGTAGAATATCACCTTTTTCATCTCGCAATCGTTTCATTTCTTCATCTTGTCGTTTAAGTTGATTTGTACAGACATGATTCTGTAAGTAAAAAAAAAGTGAAATAATAATTAAATTTAGTTGCACCCACTTTTTTAATTTCCTTAACAGAATAATCATTACAACTATCGAAGCAAAAAAATTAAAGTTCCTTTTTGAGCACTATATTCCTCTAATATTTACTATCAGATAGAATTATCAAAATTTATAACATTAGAAAGATTAATTTCTTTGTTTGTGTAATTTGTTTACAAATAAATAATTGATGAATTTTGAAATAAAGAATGAATTAATTGATAATGGTTTAATAGGAATGAAGAATGAAAACAAATTAACGTTACAAGTTTACTAAATGAGCTCCATTAATTAATAAATGAATCCATTGATAAACAAAATTGATTAATTAAAATCAATTCTATTTTTTTTTTTTTAATTCTTACATTACCATTATGAACTTAAATTTTAATCACAACTGAGATACTAACTTGTGTTTCTAACTCCATCACTTTTTGGCGCATTTCTTTTAATTCAGCAACAGTATCCGCCTCTCGAATTCTTACACCCATTAACTGATCCTCAAGTTCTTTTATTGCCATATTACCTTAAAAAAAATTTATGACAGCAAATTTAACAATTATTATATCATACTATTATACAGATAGTATTACATAAATTGTAATATGATGAATTAAATACAACAATGCCGTAAATTTGTTCACGCATTTTTTAATTAGTCATATCATACCGGAAGAATCAGAAGCATTAATGCCAGTATCTGATGATTCTGCATTAATGGTACCAATTAAAGTTGCCGTTAATTTAGCTAAACGTTGTCGAGCGCTTTGTGGCACTGTTGTTGGTGGTTGTTGTTGTGATAGCTTATCATTTGATGTGATAACTAGAATTTAAATGATTAATATATTAACAAAATTAGCAATAGTATTATTTGGAAAAAAAGAAATGCAATTTTTGCCTAAATTGAATATAATTAAAATCAATTTTTAGTGTTAGTCTATAATCAGTATTTTTAACCCATAATTAATTTTTGCTTTTTTTTATTAAAATGAAATTTTAAAAAGATTAGATTATGAAAGAAAAAGACTTGTTTTTACCTCAAACTTGCATTAATAATTCATTAAAGTAAATTATATTACCAACAATTTTGCTTCAAATTTAATTATCTTTTACATGAGAATGTAATTGTATGACTCTTATAAAATAGAGTACGTAAAAATTATCTATAAAAAAAGTATACCTTGTGATTCATTGGCTGCAATATTATTTAGCTGCAAGTTAAAATTTGAAAGCGTTGCACGTCGTTCTAAACACATTTTTGACGCATCATTTTCCAATATACGATTGCTAATATATTTCTGCAGAAAATATTTTTGAAGCAAATTATTTAGATCTATATTTCTTAAAAAAATTTAAGTTTTCGATCAAACGTTTGCACAATGTTCATTAATCAATAATCTATCTTTAGACATTACATAAAGTTGTACCGTCCAATGTTGTTCTAATTCAGCAAATCGTTGTCGCATTTCTTTAAGCGATAAGGAAGCTTCAGCTTCACGCATTTTTACTGAAATTAATTCTTCCTGCAAACCGGCAATACCATCATCCGGTGGACGTTCACGTAATCTTTTATTTGCTAGTTCTAGCTCCTAAAAATTTCACATAATTATTAAAAACATAATAAAAATAATAATTAAAGTTTGATGTTATTTGAAATTATTTTCAAATTCATCATTCTTTTTCTGATTTTTATTAAATTTAAAATGATAAAAAATGAGAAAAAAAATTTTTTAATGCTAAAAAAAACCATTTGTTTAACCTGAATTCGAAGTTTTAAATCTTTAATGATAATTTCATTATCAGCTTCACGTGCACGCGTATCAATAATATCTTGTTGTAATGCATGAATATGTTCAATCATTGATGTATCATCCACTTGCGTAGCACATTCCGTTAATTCCTCATTTTTCTATAAAAAAGAAATATTATTTTAATTATCGAATTGAATAAGTCTAAAATGATTTATTTCTTTAATCCTTTTTTTTTTTTCAAATTTTTGCACTTTTTATTCCTTTTTATAGTATATTTTCAAGGAAATCAAATTTAATACAATTCTAAGAAAAAGAGAAAAAAAGAAATGGAAAGCAGTATATGAATAATCATCCATAATGTTAAATTATTTCTTCTAAATGTTTTCTTTTTTTATTTCAAAAATTTTCAAATTTCCTTTTATTTTTTAATCCTTTACTTGAAAACATTTAGTCGCAAATTTCGCACGACAGTGACCAACAATTCAATGCATGTTTGTCAATTCTTCTTATTTGTCCCAATTACTATTACTACTACTAATACTATTATTATTATTTCATAATTATCATCATTATTTACTTACATTGTTATCATTATAATACTCAATATTTATTAAATATGTAGGATTCTTGTGATATTATATAAAAATCAAAGATTTTGAGAAATATGATTATATTGCGGTTTAATTATTATATTATTATTATCGCTACTTTATTATTGCTATTAATGTATTATTTATGATACCGTTTATTACTATTAAATTACCATGTCTCATTATTACAATTATTATTATCATTATTATATCATGTTATTATAACACTATTTTATTATTGTCGTTATTATTACATGACAATATTACATTGTCATGTTATATTATTATTATTGCTATCATTACTATCATTATTATTATTGTTATCATCATTTCAATTAGTATTATTAATCATCACTATTAATAGTGTCTTTCATTACTTAGTAACTTTGATCGTATAATATAACACAAAAGTAATACAAAAGTTTTGGAAAAGTAATTGATATTTTTGAAGAAAGAAAGGTTCAAAATGAATTCAAAAATGATATCATTAGAAAAAGAGCTGATGTATAATCAGACTGATTATATACATAGGTAATATGCGGAAGAATAAAGAAATCCATTGAAACATTTGTTCCTAATAAAGCTAAAGCATTTTATGATAAAGAGTGATAAACGATATAGGAAGGATGATAAGTTAAATGTCAGAAAGAAAATGAAAAAAGAAAAGAAGACTATCCTAAGCCCTCAGATAATCTATTTTTGTGGTTATTCATACTGTTGGGAATTAGCCTTTACCTCATTTATATTATCGAAAAAAAAGAAAGAAAGAGAAAAAAGAAGGGAAAAAAAGTTTATTAATTCATATCAAAGAAGTAAATCATTTTATGACGACAAACGAAAAAAAAAATTAAATTTAAATGTTATGCAAGAAATATATAATAGGGATTAGGAAGAAAGAAAAAAATTTTTTCCTTATTTTTGTCATTTTCAAATTTTAAACTTGCAAAAATTTTTTTAATTTCAATTGTTGGAAATATTAAAAATATTATAAGTCATTTTTATACGTTTTTTCTATTTTTTGAAAATATTTTCTACAAAATGCTAATTTTGTCAAATAATAACTTTGTGAATTTTTTTTTTTTTTTGAACAAATAAAAAATAAAAAAAGTGGTGAACAGACTTTGCAACTTAAATCTCGAATTGTATCATATGCTTCTTCAAGGCGTCGATGAGCATCTGAATTGATATCGCGAAGTTTCAACAGCTCATGTGATATGCTCATGCAATTTTCCGCTTCCTGTGCTAAATTTACTTGACCTTTTATCAAACGATCAGCTAATGCTGAGCTTTCTTGTTCCAAATAATCAATTCGTTGTCTTAGTAAACGATTTTCAGTTCGTAATCTCTGCAAAGAAAAAAAAATATTTTTTGATTTAATTTATTCATTCAAAAAAAAAAAAAAAAAGTAAAGTTATTTTAAATGTATACATTGCTTTTTGTTCTATTATTTTTTAAAATTTACACATTTTATTCTATCCATTTATTCATTTTTCCTTATATTCGTTCCCTTTCCCGACATCTTTTTTTCCACTCATTTTAATACTTTTGAATTTTAAAAATGATGGAAGACAGACATCATCTAATTCCTTTTATGATACATTTGGGAGTTATTAAAAAACTTGGCATAATTTTTATTCGAGAATCATTTAAAAAGAAGAAATTTGTTGGGACAAATTTTGTACCTTTTATATTTTTGTTTTTTGTTTGCGCTGGAAATGAAAGATATTAAAGTAATTTGTTTACCAGTAATTTAAAATAAATAAATAGATGAAGAAAAAAAAAGGAACAAATAGATAATATAGCAAATTACATCTGTTTAAAATGGATATCCTCATTCATTGTATTGAAGAAAAAAACGGTTCGAGGCAAATAAATTTAAAAGAAAAAGAAAAGCAAAAATTAGAAAAAAAAATCAATAAAGGCTGGAAATTTTTTTTAAATGAACCTAAAACAAATATTAAGGAAGCGCAAAAGAAAAAACTTTGAAGAACTGCTGCTTACTGAATGAAACATAGAAAAATTAATTATCGAAAGGATAAATGTTACTTAAATAAACAATCACCAAACAGATTTAAACATATGTATAATGCTAGCATTTGACTTCATTCCCTTATATTTTATGTTTAATAGTAAAAATGTAAAGGTAACTTTCCCTAAGTAAACAATGAACTACGGGTGAATAAATAATTAAGTAAACAAGAAACTAGGTAAATAAAAAAACTCCAACATTAATGATGCATTGCGGAAAAAAAGACTCACCCATGAAACTGTAAAATCCATAGCTCTAACAGAAGTACCGGTAAAAAGATCACACTTATTATTTATTAAAAACAATTTTCTACATGAGTTATACTAAAGTTCATTGCCTTATTTCTTAAATTATTCCACTGTTCTGAGACAAAAGTTCAAAATGTGTCAAATGTCAATTAATTAGTTTGATAATTGTGGAAATTTCAACTAAATTAAAAACCTCCTATCAATCACCCAATTAATTACAACTCATTAGAATATGCTATCAATTCCATGTCATTCCACATGATTCAAATTCAACCCTACTTGACTATGAAATATTGTTTTAGCAATAAATTTTTAAATGTGCAATTCATATTCATTTTTCTATTCTAACATGAATAATTAATTTACGAATTAGCAAATAAGCCACCTGAATTTTCGAATTTTATCATCATAAAAATAACAAATACTTCATGGAAACATTTTTTTCGCTTTTCTTTTACAAAAAATTTTTAGTTTTTAGAAAACATTAAGGATTAAAAATAGGCTCAGCAGAAAAAAGAACGAATGAATGTCTGTAAGCAAGAATAATTATTGTCACATTAGCGATTAATTAGTCTGAAAATGCCAAGGCAAAAAAGAAAAAGCAAAAAGAAACGGAAAATTTTATCCATTTGTAATCTACAAATATTACTTTTAATTTTGTCGTCACAATAATTATCATAAAATTAAATTTAGTTGAAGCTATAGAATTATCAAAATAATTTATTCGAGTATAAATATCCTAGTAAAACAATGAAAATTTTTTATAGAAAATTAAGTATTAAAAAATGGAATACAGCAATTTTAGTTTTTAGCTGTTTGAAATGAAATATGGCCTCATTCCCGTAACCAAAAAAAAAAAAAACCAACTCGAACTCATAAATTCGTAGATAGAAAATATAAAATCATAAATTAAAGTGTCAATTTGTTCGTTTTAAACCATTTTCTCTTTGAATCTTCTTCTTCATAATTTTCCTTTTTTTTTTAAAATTCAATAAAAAATTTTAACTGTTTTTCTGTCTTAAAAATTAATTCAGTATTTTCTCTAAACGAAGAAAATGTTTCGATGGTTTGCAAATAAATACATTCTGTATATGCTCAATTGAAAAAGTGATAACTAATGCATTTTGCAATAACACGGCATAGAACGGGTAAGTGGAAAATGAGAAAGTGGATGAAATTTGATTGATAAGTCTCGTTAATCTGCAGTTTCGTTAATCTCTGGATTACATTTTTTGTAGTTTTTTTTTTTTTAATTGAAAGTATTTTTGCTTTAGTTACGGTACTTCTCTGATTCAAATTAAAATGTTAAATTTTAACAGCGCAAAAAAAGGAAACAAATTTCTATTTCAGATATATGCTATGTTCAGATGAAAAGAAAGAACATTCGGGTGATTAAATCAAATGGAAGAGTAAAATGAAATATACTGTAATAGAATCTTGACAAAAAAAAAAAAAAAAAACATATTCTAATGGAATTCAAATATGTAAAAGTACTACAGTAAAGTTTTAGAAGAAAAGATACACCACGAAAATGCTTTATTGGAAATACACTGTAGCAAAATTACAGCATAAAACATATACTGCAACAAATTCTGACGAATACCAAAATTCTGACAAACAATAAAAGTAAAAAGAGTTTATTTTATGAAACCTTTGCTTGAGAAAAACAAAAACAAACCTTTTTTGTCCATTGAAATTTTTGCCATATTTTACGTTGTCGATAAACCATTTTTATTAGTTAATTTTTTTTTTTTTTTTTTTTTTTGCAACCGAATAATGTGAACTTAAAAATAATTATAGTAACACCTTTATATATAGTAGCAAAAAAAGACAGACGGACGATTCACTGATTGAATTATCAAAATTGAATTGTAAAATTAACCAACACCAATTTCAGAGAAAAAAGAAAAGATTGATTTATTATTTATTTATGAAGCAAAACTTCCAAAAGTTATGCTTTAATAAAAATTTTGAAATTATATTTTAGGAATAAAGAAAACAAAAGGAAACAAAAGGGAGCTTTAACAATTTTAAGTATGCAAATTAATAAATTAAAGTGATGGAAGAATTCAACATCGAAATATAATTATTGTTTAAAAAATCATCATAAGTGATTTGTTTTGTTTCGTTTTTTTCAACGGTTAAATGAGACAATATAGTATATTTTCAAATTTCAAAAAATGAATTGGGCGAAAAGAAAAAAATTTCACAATTACAATTTTTTTTATGTGAATTTTTCCAATGATTGCTTCAAAATATATCCATTTTTGCATACATTCAGCCTTGTCTTCAAAATATAAATATTCACTCCTGAATTTATGAATGGTTTTTTTTTCAAATTTTCAAGGTGAAATTTTAGTCTCAAATTCAATTAAAAAAGTCGAATAAATCGAGCAAATGCAGAATGATGCTGAGGGTGCGTAATTATTCTAATTTTCAAGGAAGTTTTGATGCTTGAATTTTTCTACAAAAAATTTTTAAGTCTTCTTTTGGACAAATCAATAGAAGAAGCACATTAGGAATGTAAAAATAATTTAAGGATGGGAAAAATAGCATAGGATGAAGTAGAAACAAATTTTTTGGTCTAAAATAAATTTATGAATCACTTAAATGGTGATTTCATCGTTGTTCTTTTGCTTTTGCAATTGAGAAACTGAGAAATGAATCAGATTAAAATGAGGTGAGCTAAAGTGAAATTTGGTTGAACTGAACTGAATCAAACTGAACCAAACCGAATTGGATCGGATTGGAATTATCACAATATTAGTAATCTTCTTAAACGATTCGTACTCCTTATTTGATAGCTCTTCTTTTTTTTTTTTTTTTTTTTTTTTGAATTGGCAACACAAAATATGGATTAATTACTAGGTTAGAATAAATTTTTTATACGAATAAAATTCTTTATAAGTTGATTGATAATAAAAAAAGAAAGAAGAAAATCATAATTTATTTAAAAATATAAAAAAGAAGTGAAGTATGAGGTTGAAAATGTTACTGAAACAATTTACAATAGTTTTAATTCCCGATTTTACAGTGATTTTTTAATTTGCAATAATTTTGACTGAAAATCCAAATTTCGAATATAATTTTAAAAAATGCAAATTTTGGAAAATTTTGAGAAAAAAATCATAAAAATTTTCTGCTCGGCTACTGCAAAGCAGCGAAGAAGAAAGAGAAGTGTGAGGAAAAAAGAAATTAATTGTAATATTTGTGTAATATGAAGAAAGCAAATAAAGGTAGAAAGTGCAAATGATGGTCATAAGAAATAATGATAATAAATGATAATGATAATAATAATAATAAATAATAATAATAAAATGACAATGATGAGAATGATGATAACAATAGTGATAATGATGATGTTGATAATATTAATGAAATGAGAAGAAGAGGAACATCACAGAGAATTTGTTGATAATAAATTGAACTGATAGAACGAATAAATGAAAACAGGTAAAACCGGATTGTCTCTAATTATAGCTACCGGTAAAGTGCTACGTTTCCAGTAACATTTCTAAATGGACATACATATACATTAATATAAAATATGAATGTATGTGTATACAAAGTATGAATAGTAAAAATTTCAGAAAGTACTTCAATTCCTGTAGGACATATTTATTAAAAATTAATCTATCAATATTTCATTTTTGATATTGATAATTGATAAAAATTTCCTGCTATTTCGTATTTTTTTAAAAAGTATTTTCAATAATACAATAGAAAAAAGGATCAAAAACTTTAGTGGTAGTAAAAAGTATGGAAAGAGAGAAAAAAAGTTTACTAATTGAAATTTTTGTAAAATGAAATTTTTAATAAAATAATGACTAAAAAGTGCAGAAAAATTAGTGTGAACAGCAACAGTAGTAAAAAATGAATGATTTCACTTCAAAAGTGAAAGGATGGAATGTAGATGAAAGTCAAATTTAGTAAGATTTATAAAATTAGACAAAAACGATTCAATTTTTTTAATAACTGAAAAAGAAACAGATAAAGAGAAAAGAGCAATAATTCCGTTTTTCTTTCTCTTTTTTTGGAATAAAAAGAGAATATGATTAATTTGCCTATTAATTAATGAATGATTAGCTGTAAACAACTGATAAAAATTTGTTAGATGAAAATTTATCCAAAGAGTTTAAAAGAAAGATTTTAAATATTGATCGAAAATTGATTAGATAATTTTCCAATGTGCACAATCGATGACTGTCACTCAATTGTAAATTTCAAAATGAATTAATTTAGAAAACAAATAAAATTAAGAAGGAAAATATTAAATTAAAAGGGGAATAAGCAAAGAAAGATACAAATTTGACCAAAAAAAAAAAAGGGAAAATTAGGAGAATAAAGAATATAACTGAAAGAATGAAGAAAAAAAGGAAAGAAAGAGAAGGAAAAGTGAAAGAAGAAAGGAAGGAATTACTGTTAAATGAAATGGGTGGAAATAATTTTGCTTTTTTTAAATGAAAAATGGAAATTGACAGAGTGGAAACAGGAGACTGACTATAAATATAAATATATGAAACGGATTGAAATCAACCAATCAACTAATTTAAGAAAATATCATGCAAAAAAAATATTGCAAAATCTAAAAAAAAACTTTTCTTTCCTATAAAATTTTTTAATTTCAAATTTTTTTATTTTAAGAAAAAAATACTAATTATTCCTTTGTGTTATTTACTGTTATGACAAAATATCACTAAAAAAGTGCTGCAAAAAAGGAAAAAAAAAACAAAACTAAGGAAAGAAATTTTTAAGTGCGAATATTTTAATTTCAATTTCTGCAAAAAAAAAAAAAAAAAAAAAAAATTATCACGAACACTTTTGTTACTTACCAAAAGAATACATTAGCACATCATTTTAATACTAATTATTTGCTTGCTTAAGCGCAATTTTTAAGCTTTTATTTAAGAATAAAGAATTATTTCATGTTTAAATTTTTTTTCATGTAAAAAATTTTTAATTACAATATGGAGAAATAAGTTAACATGTTGTACTTATTAGATAAGGCAAATTTTTTCTGTAAGATACAAGATGAATCTTCGGTTACTAAAGTTATTTGTAGGTAATTACATGAAAACAAAAACGAACTGGAAATGATAGAATTATATTCGAACGCAAACACTGTAAATTGTGTTAAAATTAAAAATGAATTTTTTCCAAATGATTAAAGTTCTAATTTTTTAAATTCATCATCAAATAAACTGCTACATCTCTAATAAATAAAAATAAATAAAAAGAATAAGCACAATAGCAAAGTGTATTTACATTATTAGTGGAAATGTCTTAATTGACATTGATGAGAAACAAAATTGATGAATATTCAATAATGAAGTAAATGTGACGATGCGGTACTGTCAGTGGCATTTATTCCATGGATAATATCCTTTTGAAATTAAGAAAAAATATTATTAAAATTAAAATATTTGTAAAATGATAGTAGTAAGTTTGTAATATATATCTTTTTTCTTCCTCTTTTAAAATAGGATGCATTTTTTCCTATGATAATCTAAGTCTAATCAATAATGCTGTTCGTTATCACTACATCTCTTAGTAAAAGGATTATATTAACTAGCACAGATTTTAGTACAAACTTCAAAATTTACCATTTGGTCCCAATTATATTGTAAGAAAGCATAAATAGCATTGAAATGTGATCCTTTTGATTGATTATTCAAGGCTACTTAGCACGAAGTACCATTGTCAATGCTTTGAATAATAGCCAAAAAAAAGAGAAGAAATGATCAACGATATTATTTTATAGTATTGTACATAGTCACAAATAAATCACACACATAAAAAAAGCATATAAACGGAAATTTATTTCCTGAAATTATTAAGTAGTCCAAAATTATTAGAAGCATCCACTTTCTTTTTTTTTTTCTCATTGAATGCACAAAAAAAAAGTTGAAAAAAATCAAACAGACTGAGAGGGAGAGAGAGAGAGAAGAAAAAAGATTTATTAAATATTACCCGAATAATTGGATTAATTAATTAAAATACACACTTCAAATTATTTTAAAAGTACTAAACATACAATTCACTTACAGTAATGGACATTAATTTAAGGAAATACTATTTCATTTATTCTATTATAGTATTTTAACTTGTCAAAAATAGCAAAAAAAGCAAAAAGAAAAAATAAGACAAAATTAATTGGTAATTTCTTTTTTTAAAAATCAAAAAAATTTTTAAAAACTATAAATTTTCATTTAATTGTCAGTGACTTTAAAAGATTATTTATTTATTTTCTTGCCGATGATAAAAATAATAGAATGAATAAATTTAGAAAAGAATAAGATATATTACATTCATTAATAAATACTATATTTGTGTTATCATCAGCAAAATGTTATCAACTTCAAATTGACCTACATTACATGCGATTGAGATGACCTTTTAAATATTGCACCTACCCATTTTAATTCTTAGTATTCTAAATACATTTCTAAATATGTATGGAATAAATTATTGATAGTGCTCATATGATTTATTATTACTTTGAAATAGTAAAATACTAATTAAGTTTGACTCATCGTTTCGATAAAATCATAATATAACGCTTATAGTCTGCAAAAGAAAAAGAAGAAAAAAACGGAATAAGTATATTTTAGCACTGATTTAATTTAAACAAAATTTTGGTAATTTATTACGGAAATAAAAAGGAAAGATTTTACGATTTCTAATTAATGTTAAATGAAAATTTTGTGATTTCTCATTAATTAACATATTAAATATGAAAAGCTGAAGTGTTAAGAAAATGAATAAACATAAAGTAAAAATTTGATAGAAATAATAAAAAATAAAAATAAACTGTGAAAAGATTTGTTGACAAATAAATCCTTTCATTTTACTTCAAAGATAATAATTCTAAAAATATAAGTTGAATTTTGAAATAGTTGCTGATAAAAAAAAAAAAAATTAGACAGTTTAGATTTAGTAAAATAAGAAAATTAAAGGAAAAATATTTGTTTTTCATCTTGAAACTTTTTTTCTTTCGTTTTGTCAATCTTAACCAAATGAGTGATAAATTGGATTTTTCTTTTTTAATGATTGATAAGTAAATTGAATTGATTTTGAGAATGAAAAATTGAATTTATTAAGATTGGTAAATTGAGTTTCACAAGACTGGTAAAATTATATCAGCTACTTTAACAATCTATTAACAAAAAACATTGAAATTTAAAAAATGTTCCAAAACAAAAAAAAAGGGGGGAAAAAGTGTTGAAAAAAGGTGGAGGTGAAAAGTTTCAGATGTTTGAAAGAAAATAATTAAAAAGTTAATAGCTTTTTTCTTCAAACCTTTTTAAAGGTTTGAAGAAAAAAAGAAGAAGTGTTGAAAAAGTAATGATTGTTGGTTAAATAAGGAAGGTATCTAAACTGGTTGAAAATAATTTCAGAAGAAAAAAAAAGAATTTAACGAATGAATTCATTGATGTTCGTTCTATTCCAAAAATTAATGATTCTTCTTCTTTTCCGCTTCACTTTTTTTCTCTTTCCTTATCATCAAAAAAAAAAAAAAAAAAAAAAATTTGAGAACAAAATACATTAAAAAAGGAAAAATAATTTACATTGATTGAAGGAATCGATTAATACTTAACATTTGTTTTTCAGCAAAAGAAAAAAAAATTTTGAATTTTGATTATTTAAAATTTTAAATACTTACTAAATTTTTCAGCATATAATAACAAAAAATAATGGATTATTCTTCGTTTGATAAAGATTTTATTTTAAAATTTGCAGTTTTTTAAAAAAACAAGAAAAACTTTGCCAATTTTAAATAATATTATATTTGTTAATATTAGTAAAATGACACATTTAAGACATATAAATGATATGCAAATTTAGTAAAAAATCAAATAATTAATTTTCTTAAAACACTGAATGAAAAAATTGAAGAAAAAAAGGAAAAACTAACTCTTAATTCGATTGCTTCTTCTTGCTCTTTGGTACGTTTTGTTAAATAATCTTTTTCCAATCTAAAATGTAAAAGAATCATTCGTTTTTATTAAATTAAATTTGAAAGTTTTAAACTAAAAATATTAAAGAACTTGCAAAAAAGTGAGAAAAATGAATAGTTTCTAAATTTTATTTTTACAAATTACTTAATTTACTTTATTACCATATTAAAGTAACAATTATATAAAAATACATATACACCAAACGTAATTTCACGCATATGTTAGACGCACTTTACATATAGCGTAAGAATAAGAATGAATGACGTATATATGACGTGTTAATTTATTGAAAATTTTCCTATAATTTTTTTTATAATCAATACTTACATGTTTTATTGGAATGAATTTTGAAAAATAAAAATTTTGGCAGCATTTAATTACAAAGATAATGCTTTCATGGTGGCATTTTGCTAATTATCACTTTACAATAAATTAGTTAAAAATAATATTTTATTCATTTATTTATCGAAAACAAAATTTTCCTACTTGATTATTTTCAAAAAAGATAAAAAAAAGATAAGCCGATGAATCGATAAGTAATATTTTATTAAAACATATGTAATCTCTTTTTAATAACAAATAATATTTTATCTCAAATAAAAACTTTCTATTTGTTCCATTTTGATACTTTCAAAAAAAAAGGAAAAAAAAAGACAAAAAAGGAAGAAATCTATTTTATCAGTAGAAGAAGACTGAACGAATAATTCTATTTTGAAAAATTATTTTAGAAAAAAATGAAACTTTATTTTTTTGCTCACAATTTTTTAGCATTGCGAAAAAAAAGCATTGTTGTTTCATTTCACTTTGTGTAACAAAAGCGCTTCTTGTGATCCGGAAAATGATCATTCTTGATTTATTATTTCTACTTTTTTTTTCTACAATTAGTTTAAAAACTGGTAAATGATTTTGGTTAGTTAGAGAGAGGAAAAACGAAAAAAAAATCATATCAAATATCTAATTTACAAATATTGTAAAGATCAGATAACAACAAAATTATACGGCCAAAAAACAATCATTTAGATGGACAGTGGTCAGTTATGATTAATATTACAATTAAATTGAAATGACAAATATTATTGAAATTTTTACAAAGAAAAATAATTTTAGTAGCAAAATGTTAAATTTATATGTCAGATTTTTACATATTTTTTAAGTTTAAAGAATTTAATTTCCAACAAAAAATAAAAATTATGAAAATGAATGAAATGACAGCAAAACTAACTTTTTCATTTTTTTAACATTCAATGTAACTTTATTTGCTACAACAAACAAAAGCTCGTGATCATTCTCGTATCGCTCACGCACTTCACGTTGGAAATACTGCAAAATTCAAATTTGAATCAAATTTCACTGAACTTTCAAAATTTTATGCTAAAATTACTATTTGTAAAAGTTAATAAAAGGAACATTCACTTTTATTAAATTTATTACAATAATTTATTTTTGTTGCATTAAGTAAATTTATTACAATAATTGAAAATATAAATCGTAAATATGCAATGATAATTTGGCTTTATCTTAATTTAAGCAATTTTTGCTTTAATTAAACTTATTCAGAATAATTAGTAATCATTACTATTACTTCGGGTTTGGATAATTAACAATACTAATGAATTATTACTCTTATTAATAGCTCAAATTTAAAAATTTCTCGTAATGCTAATGACAACACAGAACTTTTTTTTTTTAGGAAAAACAGTAATAAAAATCCTGAAATTAACCTTAAGCATTCCTTCCATATCCAATTTTAATAAGTCTAGTCGAGCTTGTTGTAAAATTGCCATCGCTACACGAAATATAAATTCCATCCCCTCAAATAAATTAATCAATCAATAAATTGAGAAAGAAAAGACTGACCACAAAAATTATATGATATAAATTCCATCCCCTCAAATAAATTAATCAATCAATAAATTGAGAAAGAAAAGACTGACCACAAAAATTATATGATATTTTTGACTGAAAGACCAATAAAAATAATTTAAAAATATGCCTTATTAATATGAATTGCACATTCTCTAAAAAAATTCCGAGTAAGATCTTAAAAAAAAAAAAAAAAGAAACTAAATATTTATTATGAAAAATTCTGTATATGTCTATCTAATTTATAAAAAATCAATTATTATAAAATTCCGAAAAAAAATTTTTTTTTAAATATCTGAAATTCAGCAAGAAAGAGATGTGAAGCATTACTGACAGTAGTAAATTTTCGCTCCATCTTTTAAATTTTAAAAGAAAAAGTAACAGAAATTCATAATTGAATAAATGACTGAATACATTTTATAAGTTATAATATTTCAACACTATATTTTTGCATGCTGATTTAAGTAAGCTAACTTAATAACTATAAGCATTTTAATTGGAACTGGGATATGATGCAAAAAATTACTTTGTACAGAAAAAAGTGTTCAGAAATAAACAAAAGAAAAAGCTTTAATCCAATTTATTTTCAACCAAAACTTTTTTTTAATACTTAACTTTGGGAATAAATTTTAGTATAATATTGCTGCAAGTTTGGAAAGAAGATAAATGGTGGAAATTTTAGAACGCATTTTAAAAAGTTACACTCTTTGTTTTTTTTGTGTTTAGAATTAACAAAATAAGAAGTTCAAATATTTGAAATTAGACAATTTCGACTGCTAAGTTCTTAACAAATTAGTTATAAAATTTTATTAAAAACGTAAAAAGTTTAGTAGAAAGATTAATTTATGATTGAAATAAAGGTATCTCATTTATAATGAAAATAGGCGGCAAAATTAAAAAAGTAATCAGTGAAAGGTAAAATTCATTTAAGTATTTTCACCTTAGCAATCTTAAGGCATGCAATTTAATTTAATAAACATTAAGAAAGGAACTTCAACTAGAATTCAAGTGAAATTACAGTAATGAAGCATTATAACTAATAAAATGATTGGATAATAAAGGGAATAAAAATTGCTAAGATATTCTTAGTGTGTACTAGGTTCAAATTGTAGCCCAGTACATGCTAGACTCAGTACATTCTCAATGCTTGCTAGGCTGAACTTCCATACTGCATACTCGGTGCGATTCTATTTCTAGTGTGCATTAAATTCAGTTATATTCCTGGCTGATGCTAGGCCTAATTAATCCACCAGGAAACAATGATAGGAAATGTTCTATAATACGGAGTAAAGAGGAAAATAAGATTTGTATGGAAACATTAATTAATTAAGAATTACTTCAGCAAGAAAGATATCCATAATTCTGTTGGCCAATTCCAACGGTAATGTTGTGGTAAAAAGAGCCAAGAACCAACTGCTAGCATACATACTCGTATCAAAACCCATATTATTGAAATGCGCACATAAATCTGGCATTTGTTCCTAAATACAGCTAAAAATAATTAAACATTTGATTAATGGAAATAAAAATTATATTACAATTAATTAAATTCAGAAGTGATTAAATAAATATTTGATTACTAGAAAAAAATGTCAAAATAAAATCAAATGCTGTGAAGAAATTAAAAATAGAAACATGTAATTTTAAAAATACCGACAATCAGTCAGTGTTTCCTAAGAAAAAGGAAAATCACTCTTTAGAGGTCAGTTTTATTTTAAACTATAACCAGTAGCAGTGATCAAACCAATGCAAAGCATTCATTAATTAATACAATTCAGTAAGTTTCAATTAAACCTACATCATAATTACAACTGCATTTGCATTTTTAGCAAAAATGCTACTTTCTATATTTTGAATAAAATTAAATCTAACGATAGGCTATCTTTAGCTAAATAATACATAAATACCTTAAACTGTTGCAAGGTAAGCTAATTCTTGGTTATGTTAAATTCGTGATGAGTATGAAGAGTTCAACATAAAAACACAAAATGTTTAGCCATTAAAAAAGTAAACTTGGTCAATAATTATTTTAAAATTTGCATCTTAAGTCAATTTTAAATTACTTTATAAGTTATTAAGAAAAATAATAGAAAGAAAAAAGAACTGACTTGAACAAGGCACTCAAGTTGAAACATACATAAACCTAATTCGGTCATTGCGGGCTTAAATAATTCTCTTAAACGATATGCTTCCATTAACCGTATAAATACCGCAAATGCTTCTTCTTCAGGCATCTAAATTAAATTAAAAATTAAATTTTAAAAAAATTAAATTAATAATGAAAAAATATTATTATTGTTGATAAGAAGTGAAGTGGTAAGATGAAAAGTGAAAAAGAATTCCAAATGCTACGGGGACAATACAACCTTATCAATTAATCTGTCCGATGCCATTTGATATTGAAAGGACCCAATATTTCGATCCCTTTTCATTTAATTTTCAACTCAGTAATGTTCCTAACTATACTGTAGTCAGTACCAAAACACGTCAAAATTCCTCGCCATTATCGGTTAGCCTGAAACCCGATCCTATGATTCAAAGAGTATAAGAGAGAGAGAGAGAAAGGACGGAAGAGTACGGAAGAGTTTGATAATCCACTAAAAAAAGACATTAAAATTTTTAAAAAATTTCATCCTTCCTCAATTAATTAACCTCAAATTATACCTGTAGTAGTAATTGACCAACAATAAAGGCACTTCCTTGGCAATAGCCTACTTCACTATCATGTATGCTATATGCTTTAATAACATTAAAAAGAGCTTGCTGTCCACGACCGTTATCCTTGAAAAATTCTAATTCAGGATATGTCCGTGGAATATCACGTAATATTACCTATAACAATAATAGCAATCATAATGTTTGCACAATATCACAGATAATAATGATAACTGATAACAATAACACTAATAATAGCAATAATTACAAAATGTTTAACAATATTTATAAGATAATACAATTCTCAATCATAATTCGATCCAATTGTTAAACAGTAATGAAAGTAAATATTTACACTTTTACTTTTTCATATGGAGATGATCTCCTCATGCAATCTGCATAAATATCGTGAACTGTAGATACATTAGCGTCGCTTAACAATTGCCATGCTATCGTACGAAAATGTTGTGGAATACCACGACGAACAAGTTCCTAAAGTTATTACTTTACTCGATTGATAAGTATATCCATTGCTTTGATATCAGACCATATCATACAATTCTATTCTGTCAAATCAGAATTCCTACAAATATTACTTCACTTCATAGATATATCTATTACCTTCATCGTATCATTTCATACAGTTCTATTCTACTAAATCAAAAATTTTTGCATTTATTACTTAGTTAATTAACGGATAATTATATCCACTGCTTTCATATCACACAACTCTATTCTACCAAATCAAAAAAGTTTCACAACTTTTTAAAAACCAAGCATTGATATATATGTATTAATTTTGTTTAAATTAAGAAACAAATGCGGAGCGTTATTTTTGAAATAATTTTTTGCTATTTTTTTTTTAAAAAAAATATTTTTAAACACTTATTTTTCATTCAAATTAGTAAGGACTTAATTTTGTTAATCTTTTTTTTTTTTTTTTTGCTTCTTTTTCAATGTTTTCCTAGTATATTTCACTTTACAATATGATTAACTTAATAGATAAATTATAAATAAATATATGTATATATACACATATATATTTCTTTTTTGGATAAAATTTAAACTTTTTCTTATGAGAAAGAAAGACCAAAAAAGGTATTATTTCAGCATATTTATGATTTATCCATGTATTTGTTTCTATTTCTTAATCTTTTTTTAATTAAGCCGCATTTTTTCTTCATTTCATTACATTTCTTCTATTTACTTCCATTACTTCTACTTTATCATTTTATTACTTTATATTTATCACTTTCATTTCATTACTTTTTTTTTTTGTCTTCATTTTATTACTTTGGTTAATACTCATATGATAATTCAACTACCCTAGATATCTTATTACCTTTGTTAAAAAATATATATAAATTACTCACTTACTATTCTTTTTTCCTTTCCATTGCACTGACAAAAAGATACTTGCTATTTTTGCTGTTATCTTACTTTTTCTTTTACATATATTATTTTTTTCGGTATTTTTTTTTTATTCATAATTATTTATCACTTATTAAATTAATTTGCAATCCATTTTCATTCAACAAATGTATTTCTACTCGGTATTTTCAGTCCAAAATATTTGCAGTTATAAATTTTAATAAATTGTATGAAAAATAAATTTAATTTAAGATAAAAATAATTTAATAAAATTGATGATTGTGAAAAAAAAATTTTCCAATTGTTTTCGAATAAAATAATTGAAGAATTTATATTTATCCTTGATATTTATTTCCTCAGTTAATTTTAATTCGTAAATTTCTTTTAATTATAAAAAGGTTTGAAAATGAAAGGAAATAGTGAATTTATTCAGTAAAGCAATATAATACTTTAAATTTGAAGTGTAAATCAACTCAACTTTTTAATAGGCATAACCCTCCCAAGTATTTGGGTGATTATATGAGCTAACGATAAATCAATAAATCTACATTAAATTATAAAACCTTAATATAATTTGGCCTTTTCCGAATTTCAACTTCCCAATTTTTGATCAAATTTCCCCAAATAGTCCAAAGATCCAAGTCTTCATCATCATCTACAGGCACACTATTCTCCCGTGATTTATTCGATCTGAAATATTATTTAATTTTATACTGTTAGCACTTCTGTTAGAAAAAATTGAGCTTTTACAGTAAGTGATTCACAATGCAAAATAGTTTGGATTATTTAGAAATGTATATTTGAAGCAAATTGCCTTTTTAAGCTTTCATTTTTTAATTCCACATAAATGGAAAAAGGAATGCCATATGTCACTAAAAATTCAAATTTATAGAATTGATCAGGAATTAAATTTTAAGTATATTATTATAATGATCAATATCATTTATAGGAAGTTTATTCTTATTTCTAGGTCTATTAATAAGACTATGTGTTTTAGATAATTATCCTTTGAGAAAAGAAATGATTTTAAATGGTAAAATTGTAGTAGAATTGAGGCATAAATTTTAATAAAATTTTCAGTTGAAATTTTAAATTGAAATTATTTGAACATGGAATTATCAAAAAAAGACAGTAACTCAATTTTATAAAAAACTGATAAAATAAATAAAATCTAAAAAATGAATGAAATAATAAAGAACAAAAAGAAAGAAACAATAAAACAAAAATGCCTTGGACTGAAGCTATCAGTTAGCGCACCACCAGAGCTACTTGAACCGGTTCGTATGGATGCAATCGAACGTGAATCCAATTCATTTGATGTATTCATCTGTTCCATCTTCATTAGGATTGAAACAACCGGTTCCGGTACTTTACCGTTTAATTCAGTTTCTGCACTACTATTCACCGCACAAGCAGCACCGGTTTCTCTCACTCCAACTATTGTTGTTGAAGCAAATGATTCACTAGCGCTTGATAATGATTCGTTTAGTAATTCTTAAAAAAAAAAAAAAAAAAAAATTATTTTGATTTAATCAATAAGCATATTCAACCTCAAATAAACATACTAGTAATATTTACAAAAAGAAAGAAGACTTAATTCAACGAAAAAATTTTAATTCAAAAATGAAATATTGAAATATTGAAAAAATAATGAAATATTGTAGTGTGGAAAAATATATTTAAAATTATAATTTGAAAGAGCTCAAATAAATAAAACGAAATAAATATACGAGAGAAAACAAAAAGGAATGAGAAAAGGGGAGAGACGGAGAGAGGGAAAAAGATAAAACGATGAAATATTTACATAATCAAAGCGAACATAATTTATGGCTAATTATGGATTAACTGGCATTAAAACTTAGCATTCAGGACAAAGACCTAATTTAGGTAAACAGAAATTTAATTCTTTATCTTCCTTTTTTTCCTTCCTTCTCTCTCGTTCTACTTCTCTCTCTTCTTCTCCCTTAAGCTTTCTGTTAAAATTATAAAATTGATAATTTATACAGAAGAAAAAAAAAAGAATTTGTTTTCTTCAAAATTAATAAAAATATTGCTGATATTAACTGATTACAACTGATTCCTTAAATTTAACTCCCAATAAAATTCCTTTAAATTGTCAAAGAATTGTTAGATTGACTCGTACTAAATTCTTCTAAATCATCAACAAATTAGTCTTTAGATTTAATTCTCATCACATTTCTTTTAAAACCATTAGGAGAAATATTTAAATTATCAGCAGATTGATTCCTAAATTTATCTTTTGATCAAATTTTTTAAAATAAAACATGAAATTAATCTATTAACATGATTTAAATTCGAATCATTTCTACCAATTCCCTATTATCGTCCGTCTTTCTGCTTTTATTGTGCATTAGTGAAAAATAATGAATGGAAAATTTTGTCGTTGGTTTGATAAATTTCGCAAAAAATAACTCTGTTAAACGAAAAGAACAATGGATTTTAAGCGCAAAATGATCAAAAGAAATAAATAAAATGTCAGTGAAAAGAAAAGATCGCAAGAAAAGTGAAAAAAAAAGAAAGAATTGAACAATTTTAACCTAATTTCATACCTTTTTCTTCTTTTGTGGTTATCAAAAATTTCTTCTATTTTTTTGGCAAGAAAAATCTTCAAAATTAACGATTGATTAAAAGAAATTTACTCATTTTTGTTGCTAATATTTTAATGAAAAATCTAAAAATAAATTTATGAGCTTTTATATACCTTTTTTTTTAATTTAAATTATTTTTATATTGCTATAAAATTAATCCTTTTTATTATAATTCCCTTTTTTTCAAAACATATAAGTTGAAATTTTTATAAGTTTAAGAAATTGGGAACTTTTTTCTGTTGACAGAAAATCTATTTCATTTTTATAAATTTTTCCCCTCGGAAACATTAAGAAATAGCAATCAATTTTGTCGTTCTTTTTTTTTTTTGGAATAGAAAAAGAATAGAAGAACTGATGATTAATTTTTAGTAACCTTTTTTTTTTTTTTCAATATTTTTTATCCGTTTAAAATTCCGTTTAGTTTAAAACATTGAACGAGAAAAACTGATGAGAAAAGTTTGCCCATATTTGCTTCATAATATTCTCTTTATTTTCAATCCGTTTATTAATATCAGTTAGTTGCAACGAATATGCTTTTTTTAATTTTGAAATAAGCAAATCAAAATATTCATTAAACTTAACAGAAATAAAGAACGGTGAAAATAAAAATTTATTTACTTTTTTTTGCATTTAATCGAATAGATGAAATATAAATCTGTATTTCAATCTGTAATTAAAAATAACTGGAATACAGAATTACAATAAGTGATAACATATCTGTTGTTATATAAAATAGACATAGAATAAAAAAACTAGATAAGAATAAAATTTAAATAGATGGAATTTAAAGACTAAAATTAGTTAAAATTTATAATTTATGGTAATCAATAACATAAAAGGACGTTATTTTATATTTTAATTTGTGGAAATTTGATTATTCATTTCAAAACAAAACATTTCAATATGGAACACATTCATAGCTGTCATTTATCCAATCATTTTCAATCCTTTTCATACTTAACACGAAATATATTTTATTTTATCGATTGATAGAGAATTGAATGAATTCAACTTGTCAATGATACTTTTGACACGATTAATAATTTTTCACAATATCATTATTACTATTTTTGCTATATTCTAGGCTATTTAATCCATTATAATTGAAATAAATTTAACATTTGACATAAAAATTAGATATTAAATTAATACATAACTCTATTATTTTTTAATTTATTTCACACTTCATTAATCGTATTCATACGCTTACATGATGAATACAATCAATTTGCTAATTATATATTTTCTAGCATAAGTCAAACTTAATGAAATGTTTGTATGATTATTTGCATAAATATAGCATAATAACACGAAATATTTTGAAATTTTAATTAATTTTATTGAATACAAATATATTACTAATAATTCAAATTACTATTGTTGGTTATAAATTAAATGAATAAATGAAGTAATTGTAAATAAATCATTTATAGTTAATGCGTTTCAGATGAAATTGTTATGTTCCATTAATCTTTAATGCAAAGTCAAATGCTCAGAATGTCAGTAAGCACTCTTTTTCAATTTATCTTCTTCAAAAGCACATTTTTTTCTTTTGTATGTGTGGGTATGTGTATGTGTATGTATATGTATGTGCATTTTGTGTTCTGTCTTATTAATGAGGTAGCAGTTAAAACTAGCAAATAGTTAATTAGCTTATAATGATAAGAAATTAGTTTTGTATTCTTTGAATATGGAGATGCATGCAGTAGTGATAGTGCGTTTTGCGTGAATTATTGCCAAAATTTCTGAATTAATGCAATTTACTTTTCCATTTCAATTTCCTTTCTAATGATTTATAAGTTAAGCAGATTCTCTTCTCTTTATCAGTTATTTCTTATCATAACACAGCAGTTAGTTAGCCAGATAGTCATGATGTTGTTACTGTGAGATCCTAATTTCAAATGATTTAATTTTGATGCATGGATGATTTAGTTTAAATGGATTGCTTTCTTTTTTACTCGTCGCCTAATTTCTTATCATAACATTGTAAGTGATAAGCATTATAATGATCAAATAGGAGAAAAATCAAAGTTTGATAATTTTAAATTGTTGAATAATATACAAAATAAAGATTTGAAGTAAATTAAATGAAAAATGAAAATGAGATAATAAGAGCCCTCTTTAGTAATAAAATGAAAGGAAAGATGGAAAATAAAAGATGAAATGTGATGAGTGAAGAAACAATTGAGGAGGAACATTTTTTGTAATAATAATTTATAACATTTTCCTAATTAATATTCTCCATTCAATTTATGCAAATATTTTTTTAAAATATTTATACATATATTTATGAAACAAAAAAAGAAACAGAAAGTAATAGCGAAAATAATAGTAATTGATAATATTAATAATTAATTATTTTTAAATCATAAAACCAAACTAAATTGTTATATTCTTATATTTATTTTCTCCTAAGCATTAAAAACCTGGTTGGATTTTTTTTTCATTTCAAATATCCATATGATCGCTTAATTTTATTTGATAAATGTTTAGAAAAGTATATTTTTTATGAAAACAATAACAAAATTTGCCGTTATAATTCAATTTTAAAAGTATTACAAATATATATTTATATGCATATATGTAAATATTTTTGATTTAGAATTAAGTCAACAAGAAACACCAATTCTTTTTTAAAATCAATTTGAAATAATTTTATTCGTCATTTGAAATAACTGAGATATTAATTAAATGAGAAAAAAAGAAGAGTAAAAAGTAAGTCATTTCATTTCTATAATGTTACGGAGTGAATATTCCTCCTTGTCTTTTTTTTCACTTCATTTCTTTCTCTCTCTCTCTCTCTCTCTCTCTCTCTCTCTCTATTCCATTCATAATTAGTTTTATCGTATTTTTTCATAAATTTTTAAAACACGTATCCAAGAAAAAAAAAACAGATTCAGTAGGCTAAAAAAAAGGAAAAGAAGAAATCAACAGAATGTGTATTAGCAACAAAAAACAAAAAACAAATAATAAACACTGATTTAATTTTTCGTTAATAATACAATTATAGTCAGTAATGAAATGAAATGAAAATTTAATGATTTAATTTTTTAAGGAATCATTTGTGATAAGAGAAAACAATATCTATTCAAGGTATTTTCGAAAATTTCGTTTGAATGTTACAGGTAGGATAAAAACGAATACATACCAACTGAATTTTTTTATTGATCCAAAACAATAAGCAGTAATTATTAATCTGCTAATAAACAACAAGCAATAAAATTAATGTAGCAACATGGAATAAATTAAGTGATGGTAAATCAAATCATAAAAAAAAGAAATCAAAACTAATAAATAGTAAATTTACGAGAAAAAGGAAAGAAAAGAAAATTATTTCCATTATAGTTACCAGTTCATTTAATGTAATTCAGATTCGTCACGCCACATACGCTGATAAAAAAGTGAAAAGTGAAAAATAAATGTCTAATGAATAAATCATTATTATAATTAGGAGTCATTTAAATAATTTTAGAAAGTTATCAAGACTTCAAAAAAATATTCAAATTTCATTTAAAGTCTTGAAAAGTAATCAGAAATGCATATTAATCGAAAAAATCACAGTTTAATTTTAAAATTCATTTTGGTTCGCATATCTTTGAAATTATTGAAATAAATTCAAACTGTAAAAGCAAAGTATATAATGGCAAATATTAAATTACAAATAAATAACAATGATCTAATTTCAAAAATTTAAATTCATTTTTATTCTTAAATATTTGGGAAACTAATAAAATTCAAATAAATTAAAACTTTTGATTTTATCAAAATCTGAAATGTCCATCAATCGATCAAACAAATAGTTTCATAAATAAGTACATATTTCCGTGCTGTAACTAACTAATTTCAATTAACATATATCTATTTATCAGCGCTATCTTTCTATCAATATTATCTTATTAATAGTATCAAAGTAGTAGACATTAAGTTTGTGTAAATGTTACACATATTATGATATCAAAGAGAGAGAAGGGGGAGACTAAGAGAAGGGAAAAGGAAGAGAAAAAAATGAATGAATGGAAGTAATGTATTCATTCCTTTATTTTTATTTATTCCTCCTAATAATAAATTATTATTATTGTTTTATTATTACCACAACAATAGTAATGTTACAGTAGCAATGATGAAATAAACAAGAAAAATTAATTTTTTAAATTTTTTAAAAAGTAAAAATGCTATAAGCAAAAAAAGTTACAGTAATTGAAGCAATCGAACTGAACCAATCAGTTGATCAAAAAAGAAAAAAAAATCACTTTTTT